ACATTGATTACTCATGAGGTGCACACCCTAAGTTCCACTTCCTATAATACCTATTTTGGAATTGGCAATTTCCCAGTGGACCAATCCAATATCTTGTCCAGAAGATTAATAAGATTATTTCATTCACCAAGGAAAAAAGTTTTTCATTCACCACTTATTGATTATTATGGTAATAGAGATTTGCAATTTGGATTTGCTGTAAAATGTTGAATTTTTTTAAAATATCAAGTATAGACAGCATAATTTTTTTTACTTCTGAGGGTAAGGCTTTTTTTTGTCAAAAGTACAGACCCATGAAGGACTCATTTTGGAAAAAGTTATGAAGGGTTCACTTTATGGTCTCACTGCAAGGAAGAATCCAAGTCAATGCTCGATATTAGTCTTTCTAAATTGGAGATGCCAACAAATAACTCCTCTGAACTTGGTCTTTCAGACAAAAAATAGTACTTATTCAACTTCCAGTCAATATGTGCAAAAAGAAACCACATTAATATCTGTACAACTACTATTCTACAGGTACCCTCACCCAATAGTCAATATGATGCCTGGCTTTCTGAAGCAGACAAGAATTACACTTTGAAAATAGCAAAAATCATGAAAAATGTGTTGCCATCACCATCAGTCTGCCAGATCCATTTGCCATTAAAAATAATATCAGTGGTTCTCCTATCCATGACTTCTCAAATCCACATGAACTGACCTACATGCTTTGGCAAAAAGTGTCATTCTTTCCTTTAAAAAAAAATAAGGTAATTTCAGAAGGATTGCCTGCATAATTCACTTTCAAGAAAAATGTCACATTCAAGACTTTGCCTATCTCCCTTCAAGACAGATGACATCATTTTTCAATCTCCCTTCAAGACAGACGACATCATTTTTCAAAGTATGGGCCCTTCAAGGACAAATTATTTGTACAAAATATGTCCCAACCTTGACAACAAAAATTCTTCCAATCCAATTTACTGACTATTATTAACGTATTAACTTCTCCAATTTTTTTTTTTTAGGCCTGTGGCAACACGGGATAAAGGGTGCCTTGTCATGGAAGAGGCCTCATTTTCAAAACCTACTGAACTTGATAAGTCTGCTGATAACACCTGTAACAGGTTCCTTGGGTCCAAATGTGACTGAAGGGAGCTATAGCTATTATGAAGGAATTTCTGCAGATTAGCAAGAAAAATGACAAGTTCCCAAAGGTCAGCAGAATGTTACCAATTTATTGGGAAGGATGAAAAGGGAAATATCATGAGTGATCATCTTTCATGCAGTCAAATACTTGTTAGGAAGTGTTCCATGGGATACTAGGATCTATAAACAAGTGGCACAAATAATTCACATAATTTATTGTTTCATGTAAGCATATCACTGTTCTTTATGAAATAGAGAAAAGAGTCAATAAGCATGGAAGCAATATTTTTGTACTACATCATTATGTCAAGTTTGGAGGGATGATTGTGCAAAGAAAAAAAAGTCAACGGTGGAAGAATACATAGCACATCACAATTATACAACATTTCTGTGAAACAACCAGAGGTGGGAAAGTTCCTCTTCAACAGTAAGCAGGTAGTTGCTTTATTTTATGAAGGTGTAACATGCAAATGTTGAATACCTGGAAATGATAATGGTTAACATCACAAGTTACAATTAAATTTACTTTTCATGAATGGACTTTTTTTGCACTTTCATGAGATGCACTTTTGCAAATCTCAGCCAAATTCAGTTTCACTGCTAAAGGTGATGAACCAATAGGAACTCAACCCTTTGTTGCACATTCAGCATGATGTGGACAGTTAAAATAGACCAAAAGCTGGTAAAGGAAGCAGGAAAACTGACAACATGAATGGAGGAAGATGAGATAGCATTATAATTTGCCAAAAAGGGAACTGATTTCCCCTCTAAGCTCATGGATGTAAAGCATATTATGGTGTTTACACAGTGCCAATAAGTGAACTTCCTATAGACCAAGAAAGTGACAAAACAATTAAATTACTGCAATTAGTAAAATGGCTACATTCAAGCTTGAGAATGGGAAGTCCCCCCTAAAATTCAATTTGAATAAGAACTCAAAGCTGCATACTTTTCATGTCGCCAATTCAATTTTAAACCTAGAAATGGGATTACCAAAGAATTAGGTTCGTTGGGTGGGTACATGCTAATTTTTTCTCACAAAATTATTTGCAAAACATCACCAAAATTATTTTGCAAAGTGACACACATATCCCCAATAAGAACTTGGTCTGGCATAAGCATTAGTAACAATCTTCAGAAGGGCTCATACAAGTAGGACTTTTGGTTCCAAGTTGGGGAAGACTTCCAATTCAGTTAAGAGATATATGAAAAAGAAATTATATGTGATGCAAGACATGAGTCTGAATAAAATCTGCATGAAAAAAGCCAGTACAAAAAAAGGAAGTTAATAATGTTAAACTACAACCACTGCAGCAATGCACTGCAATTTCTTATATTGTGCACAGGTGAGAATGAGGCACAATCAGCATTAACAGAGCTAACGAATCACAAGTGGACGGAACCAGGGACGCATCTAACACATGATTGAGATCTGCAGCACATTAGGAAAAGGCACACAGAAGCATAGTTTCACCATAGACACAATGGATATGCAATATGAGATGAAATGTTGACAGACATTCAAACATGAAACAGGAAAAATTAATGAAACCAAAAATGACAGAGACAGAATCATATTGGCTAACAAATTCTGTCCCCCATGGCAGCTGTCTGTCTGGTATTCATGGCTGACATTCAGCAGCTCCTCAGAACATGGTAAGTCCCATGTATTTCAATCTTAAGTCATGATCTACATCCTATCAACTGATAGTACATGAGCCCAGTGGTACTCAAACCACAGTCCACAATGGCCTTGCATGTGGTCTGCAAAGACAAAATGTACTTTTCAGTAAAGATTAAAATATTAATTTTTCATTAGTACTAGCTAAACTTTTCATGGAAGTGACCCACATAATGTTGGTTGGATAAGGCCCTCAGCAGAGAAAGGTGTAAGTACCACAGCAATAGCCAATGACAAAGATAGCTGACACTGCAAGCTAAATCTCGATATCTGAGAAATTGAAGCAATTCTCTAAGGTAACAGGGACTGCATTTATACAGGGCATGGTGAAAAAGAAACTAATGACTTTTAACCTATGGGTCCCTGCTCCAACTGGAGCTATTTTATGAAGATAGCTCCATGGAGAGCAGAGGTATATATAGGTTGAAATTCTTTTTATTTTCAATGTTTTTTTACCACACCATTAACGCCAACAAGACAAATACATCATTTCAAAGCTGAGTTTTACCCGACAGTTCCTAATCGCCACAGTAGATGTGGCTTGAGCCTTCAGATGCCTGGAGCACATAAGGAATGGAAAAAAAGATGGCACTGAGTGATATGAATACATATAATAATGGCTACAAGAATACATAATGGCTCTTGAACAAGGCTCCCACTCAACACACTTCAGATGGTCATGCAAATGAAGATACCAATGTGGACCATGGCATGCTCATAACTCATTGTAGTCATGTGGATAAATAAATGGTTCTCACATACATTCTGTTGCAACAGGAGCATCACCTGACTCAAGCCACCCAGGACATAATGCTACGTGCAAGGATAATTATGGGCACAAAATATTGTCTGATTTAAACATTTTTGGGCTGCTGGGTGATTCTGTTCAAACTTCTGCCTGCTTATTTTATCTTAGCTACAAATTGAAACCTGGTTACAAAGTACAAAATAGGAATCTCTTCAAATTGGCATGTATGAGTAATGCTGTTTTTCTAACATTTATAAGTAATACATACTACTCTTCTCAAAATTTTCTGTACACACATGAACTTCTAAGCAAAATGTTCATCAATGACCCTACCACATCTGCTCTCAGCAATACATGATGCAAGATGATCATGTGAGTAAAACATGAAACATTGACTTTCCTTGTGCTGGTAGGGTTATGGACCTAAATGAAGAAAAACTCTTCATTGCATGGACTGGATAAGCACAGAGTATGAAAGCAAATACAACAAAACTACCAACTTCCATAATCAAGGTATCCCTTGCCAAATAGATATGTGTCTCAAGTACCTCTTATTTTGTAGCACCCTCAGCATTTGCCATCATGATCATATGTTTAACTCTGCTTACAATGCATCATTATTTTGTATTTCTTTCTAATCAGTCAATATCTATTATTGAGCCTCATTTTTTAAGGTTAAGAACAGTTGGACTTAGAATCCTGCCCAAAGTACACTTAAAAGGTTGTCAGGGTTTTTTAAACCCTGCACATTTTGTCCAAATTAATAGTTAGGTTAGGTCTTTGCTACATGTTCTTGGTTGATGCTTCAAAATTAATTGCATGAACAGCCTGATACAAGAAGAAAACCCCCATAGCAATCGGTACAAAACATAATGTCATTATGTGATAAACCCTTGCAGCTGCTCTTTTAATGCATAGGTATTTCTGCCTTTTCCCACTGCCTGAGAACAATTCTAAATCTTCTAGATTGCATTGACATTTATAATCCTTCATACTCCCAGGTTAAGCACTCCATCAGCAAGATATCTGAATTTCCATTTTCCACTCTCAAAATTTATAACACTACACATCATTAACAAACTTATGTCTTCCATCTGAAAAAAGAAAATGTAGTCACAGGGTAATGACAGAAGTTATTCTTGGGAATCTTCCTCACCATTAAAAACTGGAGGAGGGGGGGAGAGGAGAAGATATTGCTATACTATTCTTACCATGTCTGAAATCCTAATCAGGGATCAAAACAGAAAGCCTAGTATAGACAAGGGTCTGGATAAGCCCTGAAAGCCAAGAATCTTTCCCATCATTTTATCACGAAAGTAGATAGAGATGCCTTCAATAATGAAATATGGATCAAAACCTTTTCCAGAACAAAAATAAAAAATGTATAAAAATAAGAAAAAGGAATGTGGTCTGGGGTGATACAATTCAACTACCTCAGAAGACTATCCTATGTCCTTTTTATAGAAAGATGTGGTAAGACTGCATTTCTACGAGCTCTAGGAATACTTCAGCACAAAAAAAACGTAAAACAACATGGAAACATCACATCATTGGGCATATATCACAGTGGAATCTACAGAATGGAAGAGACCATATAGACCACTACTTGCATCAAAATTGAAAAATGAGACATGGGAAGAAAGTGGAATTCACAAGAAGCTCTCCCTCACTACAGTTTCCTCAAGTGGAGTGAATTGCGAGAGCTCTTTCTCGCGGAGGTGGCGTTTCTGCCGTGCTCTCAGCCGAAGCCGCACCACTTGCAGCACCACAAGCACCAACCAGAGGAGGAATTCACACCAGTACATGAACTGGGGAGATAAACCACATCATTTCAGTGCAGAAAATAAGGTGGCAATTTGAATCTGCCATGTATACTAATCATCAAAGGACATTGCTTGGTTGAGCCCAATCAAGGATGTAAGGATAGAAATATGTGGAAGCCAAATGAAGACCATAGGAAACACCTGCCAATTACTGTAGTCAGTCTCATCAACCAATCATCCAAAATGTATTCATGACATTAATTGCAAAAACCTTGCACAGAAACATAGCATTCTCATGAACAATCAGTTACATCCCATGGAATCAGGAACATTCCACCAGATTTTCAAATAATTCAAAAAAACTTCCTGAAGGTATACAGCAGCATCTAAAGAAGAGGGGAATCACTCACCACAGAAATGTAGATGAGTGCAGTGAGATCCAGTTGGCGATTAGCTGTGTAGCGCACATGATCGAAACAGCTGGGAAAGAAATGGGGGACAATATCAATTCCCAGTCTCCCAAATCATTACATTGCATTTTTCACAGTTGTAAATTGTTACTTATCAATCATAGGGTATGAAATCACTTGAGAAAAAAGATACTTATTACAAGGACATCAACCAGGAAAGCCAACACCTCCATAGATATTCTTCAGGTTGTGTCAAAAGCAAAAGTCTCAATCCTGTTAGAAGACAATTTCAAAGACTTTGGGGACTAGATCAATTCATTAGAGAAGAGACAAGCAGCTTTAGCATATTGGGATGAATGTTGATCCAAATGAACAATCCTCATGCAGATAAGAAAGAAGGGCTTCTTGTTCCAGGATAGTGAAACCAGTTGGGGTCCATCAGCTTTAAAAATTTTTCCTCATGGCAAGCATTAAAAAATGTAAAGAAATAAAAAAAACAACTGCTGCAGAACAGAGGCTAGGCCCAGAGGGCATCACATCAGAGACATCATGATAGAATATCATTTTCCCTCAGTGTTACTGGCAAAATCTATAGTCCAGATTATGGCATATTTCAGACTTATTCTTTTCTAAAAAAAATTGTGATAAGTACTTGCAATCTAATAAGTTAAACCACTTCTTTTTGGATATGGAAGTTACTAAGCAGAGGTAAATAAGTATTTCAACAGAAAAAACAGTAATTAATTTTTTTGCTGGGCAGAAATACATTGAAAAAAACCATATTAAGATGTAGACATAGAATAGAATAAAAGAACACTTTTTTACTTAAAAATGCATAATGATTTGCTGGTTACCCCTTACTGAAAAAATTCAAGTTTTGGTCTGATGTCAGAATTTTCATAAATGATGCCTGCATACTTAACACACTGGAGATTTGGAGTTGAAACATTTGAATTTGAATGCTTTCAGAGGACTGGGTGATACAAAAGATGGATGAAAAAAATTGGTTGAGCCTCAATTAGGGGAAGATCATAGGGAAAGACAGAAAACCCTGCCACGATAAATGGTTACTTAATCAAGAGAAAAAGGATATAGATTTTATTTATTTTGGCAAAATAAATAAAAAACCAACAAAACCAACCAACAAGCCAACAGTCAGAAATAAAGTAGCTCGTGCAAACAATGTTGAGATGGTGAAAACTGGTAAAACATGAAGAAAATACAGTGAATGCAATAGGTACAATAGTTAATCTTGCAGGAAGCAACCAAATCCTGACACAAGTTCCCCTGCTGAAGTCCCCAGTGAGGAAAAAGGTAGGATAAGCAATGGACAGGACACAGGAGCACACCAAAGCATTCCATGGTAAAAAATAGTATTTCCTACAAGAGAAGTGCGATATAGGGGGAAAAGGAAGCATAGTGCTTCAAAAGTGAGCACTGGTTACAGCACATTGATGGGAACAGTGCTTGACAGTATATACATAAATGGCAGCAAAATTTTTTCACACATGAGACTTAAATATACCATCACCACCATCAAGGCAATGATTATGATAACAGGTGGCCTTTCATATCTTCCAAGTATGTCACCACCATGCAGGATACAATTGCTAAATGAAGGGATGCATTTTTTAAATGAATCCAGGTGCACTTCATATTTGCTAGAGCAATGTTTCCTTTTTCCAGTAAATGGACTTTACCATAAATTTACACATTTTTTTATCAAATTTTTTTTTTTCCGGATGAATCTTAATTACTCAAAATGGCTTATGCATCCAAGGGTTACAGAGCTTGAAATTAGTATCAATACCAAGAAATCAGAGTCTATTCCATCTTGCATCTACCCCAGATCTCTTTTCTAAGTGATAAGCTACATGTAGGTTTTCCAGTTCTAAGTCCCCAATCTCATAATCCACTTTTAAATAAGAGTGTTGAAGCTAAATTTTTTCAAATGTTTCAGCGAAAACACCAGATTTTAACTATAGCCAACATTCAGCTGATGGTCTTGCAATTAATAATAACTCAAGATCCTCATTATGGTTTCATTGAAGGCTTATTGAAAGCTCATTGGCTACTCACTCATCCTGGAATGGACATCTCTAACTCATCGTGGAATTGACAACTCTGTCTAAATTTCTCTTCTTCCTCCTCAGCAAGAATGAACACCTTGCCATGCAAGCTGAAACCAAGTGCAGCATAGAGGAAAGTACCATAGGCACAGGTGGGGATACATATTCATGCAACATGCTTCCACTCCATGGTGTGAGAAAAACTTGCACATCCTCACTTGAGGTCCTGGATTCGATAACCAACTCGTTCGGAGGGTTGGTACTCGTATGGATTCCGCTGCTGTTTCACTCGATGCCTTTGCAAATCCCACTGTCTTCGGTTTTCCAATCGTTCCCGTTCCTCCCACTCTTCCCTATTTCTGTTCCATGCAGGGTCTGTGTTGTCCCATCGTTCATGATCGTAGGTATAAGTTTTCCACCTTGGATGTGCAAGAATAGATCAGATGTGATCCACAGGTGCAAGACCTAGTAGCTCACAAAGCACCAACAACAATATTTCAGCTTATGAGCAAATCCTGACTTCAGACCCATCAGGTGGTGCCAATGCTGATTGATGGCAACACAGGTCAATATCAAAGAGAAAGTACAGATGGATCATCACCAAGAAAATTGCGGATTTTTACCAGGGTGGCTAGAATTATACCATTAGAAGAAGGAGGGGAAGTCTGACACTAACGTATCACATTCAGGTATATAAACTTTCACTCCTTTTAACTTGTAATTTCTTTTTTTATGGTGTGGGGGGTGAGAAGGCAATCACTCTAGAAGCAACAGGACAACCAACTTACACTTTGATCATCTTGAAAGCAATGACAAACATTACAACTGATACACTAGCAAAGGGAAGCAGGCTAAACATTCTACTGGGACAGACTACCAAAAGGACGGAAAGCCACAAGGGGTGACGGTGTATAAATAAATCAACTGGATTCCTTGTTGGTCTCAACATAACTTCTCATGAACCCAAGATTCCAAAATTCCAAGATAATGATTCCCAGAAAGCTTTCAATTTCATCAATGCCTTTGGAACATCAATATAGAAACCTATTAGAGCATGCTGTAGCTAGAATTACCTGTCTTGGTCATATTCATAGATGGAGAGCTCTTCTCCCATTAAATGCCTCCGGATCTGTGTACATGTCTCAACAAAGCCAGCACTTGTGACTGCTGCACAAACTCCCAGTACAATGGTCACCAATATATTCAGCAGGAGGAATGGCCAAACACTTGTTTTGTACCTGCAAGTCAATATGAGTAGCACAATCAATCTCATACTACAAAGCATCGTGATGGGATGTATATTTTGTTGTCATGGAAAGGTTTGCAACTGCAAACAACTGCATCTGAAACATGAACTAATTAAAGAAAACAACAAGAAACTGAGTCCAGTGGTTCATATTTTTCTTTTATCAGTATGGTGCATGATTCAATGGTTATGGATGAGATCATTTCAAACACATTCTCTTATTGATTAGAAAAGAAGTCAATACAGATAATCATAATCAAAGCATTTGTGGTATGCTTAAAATATAGTCTAGGTGCATTCAGCAATTGAGCAGCCTCTATGTGGTAATGGAGCTATTATGCCCAATTCCTTCATAGTGCTCTGATGCTCACATAATGAACAGACTGCTCAGAAAAAAAAAGGAAGATCAGTTTCTACACTGAACTCAGAATGACTCCATACATTATAAACTTGACTTCATACATATTTGAAAATGCCTCAATGGGACTCATGTGATCATTCATTTTGGAGCACGAGGACAATGAAACTTTGTATGTTTTAAAATGTTACAGAAAATGACATTGCAGTAGTAGACACAATCACAGGATGGTATATCTGTAATGAAATTGAATCCAACAATAAAGAAACCTATTGAATCAAAGATTCAGTCTGAAAATAAGAAAAGCTTGATGGATCATCCAATCTTTATCCAGAAATCCTTAGATCTTAGTAAGCCTACTGAGGAGAATTTTAAATATTTTTCATTCCAGAAGTACAACAGCAATGCCACCCCAAAAATGAATCAAGTTCAGTAGGGATCACCCCCTATGTTCTTTCAGTGTTCATCCCTTTTTTCTCCATCTTTAGCAGGAAAACCTGTCCCATTATTATCTGGTAAAAATAATTAACATCCTTCCAAAAAAGGAGACAGAGGGGAAGTAAATTTGGAAAACATCACTCATTGTCAAGGGTGCACAGTGTATATGGTTGGACAAAAGACATACTCTGGGTGAGGGGGGGGGGGCATGCACAAGACGTACAATACCTGCAGGCTTTAGCTAATCCAGCCAACCCACCTTCATCTTGAACTCACACTTCACTTCACCTCTAGACATGATAGCCCCTTTAGCTCTCATTTTCATTCTGACTTTTTTAATTGAGTAAAAGCTGATCCATCTAAAAGACATAAAAATATGCTTCCTCTGGTACTTCAGAAAACCAAAGCCCAGAATGGCAACAAGGGCACTCACGAGATATCTTTGTTGAGACTGGTGACAACCTTCCAGGACTTGTAGGTGAAGTAGGAGCCAAGCAGTGCACTAATTCCAATCACAGCCAATGGAAGGAAGACAGCTGTGTGACAGATGTTCCGATTGGATCCTTTTTGCTCATAGCTGTTGCCTGCCACTGTAACAAACAGCATGCAGCCTGGGCTTTCATGCCCCTCGGGATGATGCAGCACTATCTGGATATGGAATATGGAAATACAATGACTTGAAGCCAAGTCAAAATGAAAAAGCAGCCAGTGTTTTAAATTTTCTGTTGATTTCATGCTATAAATACTGCATGGTCTGGACATTGATTCTGAACTCTAATTCATAACACCTTCTAGCCATAGTCTGAGAGCGTAACTATATATCAAGTACCTCCTGGAGTTGTCAAATGATAAACTCACATCATACTCATTTCTGGCCAAGAGGAGAGGAATGAAGACAAAGAAGCCAACCAGGAAGGCAGCCCAATACAAAACGGTAACTGTCACAAGCACGCACGTGCTCGCCATGTGAAGACTTCAATCTTGGCTGGAGCTCCTTGCTCATCAGCTAGCACCTCAACTGATGGTTCTATCTGACAACCATCAACTCATGCCTCCAATGCTCATTATCTCCTTCATTTCAAATTGTGGCAATAAGAATGTCTTCTCAAATGCATCCCTGAAAAGGATATTTTGATGGGTTCAGTATAACCTAAATATTACCCAAATGAAGATATTCATTTGAGGAATGATGAGGAATCAAAAGGCATTCATGACTCCAGGTCATAACATTAACTTAAATGGCAATCTTCTCTCAATAAAATTTGCACATAGTTAATTTAGCTCTGTCGATTGACCAGGGCACAGAATGTTATACGTTTTGGGGGCCGATGAGGAAAAGGAAACTATTGAGAACAGCATGTTCCTCATTTACTATAACTGCATTAACGACCTCTACCTATCACAATTTTCATTCATGGACGAGTTTGTAGTGAGACGACCTTATCGTGGAGTCAACCGAATCCCTGGTTTATTGAAAATAAACTTTTCCATACACCGTGCATGAATTTGAACATCAACCTAAAGTGCCAGACAAGTGTGCTTGAATACTCGTGGGGATCTACAGCATGACTTCTCTCTTGGATAAGACTTTGGACACACGGGTTCACGTTAGGCCTATACATGTTAAACCAGTGACTGCCATACGAACTTGCAGCCCCTTTGACCTTGGCATGCATTCCTATGGATGCTCGCATGGAAGTGCGAGGGCACAGCCCAACAGCCAGACCAGGGAGCCCATGCTTAAAGGCGCTAGGAATCGACCAGCGAAGGAACGCGAGGAGAGCAACGGAGAGAAGGCCGTCGCCATCCTGCTTTCATCCTCGCTTCTGAGAGTGTACGTCCGTGTTTCCTTTTCGAAAAATCCGCCTGTTTCTAGCGGTTTCGGGGATGGAAACTTTTCATTCGGAATCAGTCTGAAGATCTGCGACTTTCCGTGATTGCAAAAGGCAGAAACAACCGTGAATTCTGGTGAAAAAACTTTCCTTCGTCTCAAGACACAATTTATGGGATGCTTTAGCATTTCCCATCGAGTTTCGAACTAGCTGCAAGTTACTGCGCAATAGCTGCAAATTACGTTTTTTTTTAAGTATTTCCAAGCAATCTGTACGCATTGCACAATTTTCCGTACTCCCTCCTGCCATCTCATCGCAGGAATCAACATGATACAACGCGAACGAACCAGAGGCAAAGCTTTCTGCCAAGACGATCGCGTATTTCCACTTTTCCCCGGCTAGATGTCGCTAATGGCGGTTCGGGTCCGCTCCAACCTTGAGTTTGCAGGGAAGCGGAGATCTCTAATTATATCGGCTGAACAGAGAATTACGCTGGAATTTAAGCTTCTCTTATCGATGCGAAGTTTCATAGCAAAGCGGCAAGAAATGTTTCCACCCTTTTTCCTCTTAATCCCGAAAGCCTGATTAAGAGACGCTCATGCAATTTTGCATATAATTAGCACCACACTTTCTCGATCAAATGCAACTTATTTAAATGAAATTCCAGCCGTAGTGTCCACTCGTTTTTACGGCGCTAATTTAAAGTGTTGAGCGCATTTCTGCAGAGCACATTGAAAATTGGCACGTTATTTTTGTTATTATTCGTTCACGATTGCAATAAAATTAGTTACTGTGCAGGAACTGCTGGTCGTACTTTCTTAATTGCATTAAATAAATTTTAGTGTCATTCCTCCGGTCTGCCACAGAAACCAGGTTAATAAATTCCCACGGGGAGGGGATTCCATCAGATATAGAATTGAACGCATTTTTCCAAAGTGCACACTTACAGTTGCTTGATTGTAAAAGGGTCACTTTAAACACTGTATGTTTTTACGAAGCAAGTTCAATCTTCAGCATTAAAAAAAAAAAACTATTCCGTTCCTATTTCCTGGATCCTTCAGGCATGGGAACATTAGGTTAAGGTTTGTTCCCTGCAGAAAACGCCTCATTTTCATACAGTATTCGACTTCGTGAGTTTGTTTATGCCATAAGCTACAAATTTCTTTAGTCCACATGTGACACTGTCATCACAGCAGCTTCTACAGATTAGTAAGAAAAATGACAAGCTCTTAAAGTCAACAGAAAAATCATTGATTTATTGGAAATAGTACATTCAGAAGTAATCAAAATAAATCAAGATAAATCGTCTTCAATGCAAATACTTGCAGGGATGTCCTTCAAGGGGTCAGGGGGATTGGCAAATAAAAAAGTGGCATGAGATATCCACATAATTTGTTTCCTGGAAGCACTTCATTTATATTATTTACATCAAGAAAATGTAAAATTTATACGCAATCAATAAAAGGTCATATTTTTGTACTACATCAATATAACAAGTCAGGGAAATGATGGCAAGGAAAGAAGACAATGGCATGAGAATGGATGGCACATCACATTTGTACAACATTTCTTTTAAAAAAAAAAAGCAGCTTTGAGGACATTTACTTTCATGGAAAAAGTAGGTAGTTGCTTACAATTACGGCAAAATGAAATAGATATTCTGGAAATGCAATTGGTTTCCATCAGAAGTTACTATTCAATCCAAATTTTAGGAAAAGGTTGATATCTGAATCTCAGCCAATTCCAGTTCAAATGCAGAAACTATAATGACAAGAGTCAAAAGGAAGCCCATTCACATTGCACATTCAGCAAAATGCAGACGTGGTTGATACAGACCTAGATGTTGGAAAAGGGAACAGAAAAGGAATAACATAAATGGGGAAGATGACAGAGTATGATGAGTGCCTGGTGTTATAATTTAGCAAAAATTCATTTCCCTTGAAAATTTATGGGTACATAGTGCATTTTCCAAGTACCAAAAAGTGATATTACTATAAACCAAGGAAGTGACATCATGCTTGAGAAAGGGAAGACTGAAAATGAATTCATATTTGAATAATTTTTCATAAACTACTTGATAAACTATAAGATATGGCACACTCAAACAATTCATTTGGAACAACTCTTTTGTTTCACAACAAAATTTCCATTGAAAAAGTCACCAAAACGGTTTCACAAATTGACACAAGTTTCCCACTCACCTTAATAGCTTGGTCTTATGAGCATCACTAGTAACATTCTTCAGAGGAGCACTAACACGTAGGACTTTGGTCCCTAGAATGAAAAGTCTTCCAATATTCATTCAGTTAAAAGATACATGGTGAGTAATGAAATGTGACACAAGACATGTGAGTCAATAAAGACTGCATGAAGGAAGCCACTACTAAGTTAATAATTACAGACGACTACAACCACAGCAATTCACAACCTCTTGCATTGTACACAGCTGAGAATGAGGAAAACCAGCAAAGAAATGTAAATTGAGCCAGCAAAATCACCATTGGACGGAACCAGGGAAGCTCCTAAGACATGATCGATTTAAGATCTACAGCACATCAAGACTAAAAGGCATATGGAAGCATTGTTTCACCACAGACACAATGGATATGCCACATACAAATGAATAATGAACATGATCAATAAAGGAAACATGGAAGAAGCCTTATAAAGCAGAGGAAACTGAATCATATTGGCTTGCAAATTCAGCCCCCCATGGCAGCTGTCTGTCTGGTATTCAGGGCTGACATTCAGCAGCTCCACAAAACATCAAAACATGATATGTCCCATGCACCTCAGTCCAAAGCAATATCTACACCCTCAGGTTACAGTAACCTGGTGGCACTCACAGTCCATGAAGGCCTTGCACGTACTCACAACAGAATAATGTTCCCTTCAGTAAAGATGAATTTCTAATTTGTACTCATAAGCCTTTATTCAGTAGGGCCTATGTATGTAGGGTCATGTACATGAGCAGACTCAGCTGAAGGAGATTTGAATGCCACCACATTAACAAATGATGGAAATAGCAAGCAATGCGGACAGAATCACCACATCTGTATGCCGAGATCTTTAATGTTGTGAGGACTGCATATATACAAGATACGGTAAAAAAGAAACTGACTTCTAAGATCTCTGTTCTGGAGGTATTTTCATAACTTCAGTGCACATATATGCATTTGTTCCTAACAGATCTTCAAAATTCATCCATATTTGTAGTATTAAGGCAAGACTATGAGCAATAATTCAAAAGAAGTTGGACATTGAAAATGGATGAAAGCTTATGCAGGAAGTCAAGCAGAGAAATGTTTTCACACTAATGTTGGATATTACCTAGGTGACATTGAACTCTTCCACAGAAATTCATTCCTTGGGGAGATACTTTTCTGCAATGGCTTTAATAGACTTATTTCAATTAGTCATAGATTAAGCAATCTGTTGACTCAGATTTTCCCCTGATGCACATCAGAGAATTAAGCAGGTAGAATCTGATTACTTCAAAGGGACAAAAGCTGTCTATCCCTTGTCGATGTCAAAGTTTTAAAAAATAATTGCTAAAAGCTTTGCCTTGGAGTAACAAATTTGGATGAAACATTGAACTGCTACTTGACAAAAATCAACGCACAAGGCATGTTTAATGAAAATGGTTTCTGGGAGAGCAGAGATATAGAGATCAGAATTTGTTGCTTTTTTTTTGGCCATAACATGAAAGTTGACTGGGCACATGGAACATCAAGTTATACCTGAGAGTTTCTAGTTGCCAGGTTAGATGCAGCTTGAGTACAAATGCAGGGAGTACAGGCGAAATGGAAAAGAAGAAGGCACTGAGTGATCTGAATACACAAACATACACACATCAAGGCACATACACCCACCCAACACACACCAAACAGAAATAAACTATGACTCTCATGTGCTAAGTGGCAGGCTATGTCAATTATGAGGAAAAATAAATGGTGCTCAAGGATATTCTGTTGCAACTGAAGCATGTCCTGATTCTAGCCACTGAGGACAAAATGCAATGCAGAAGAATGACTGAAGTCACATAGAATTCAATGTAAACATATTTGGGGTGTTTCTGTTCCAATTCTGTTTAAGTTCATGGTTGCTCATTTTACCTTTGTTTTAAACTGAAGTCAGGTTGCACAGCAAAAAAAATAGGTTTCTCTTTATAATGGCATGCAAGAATAATACTACAAATTTCCAGTATGCACAAACAATACTAAACTTCTTGATGTTTTGTTGCTGTACTTACACTTTCTTAACTCTCTTAATACCATGAGCTGTCATGATGGCTTACCCAAAGCACTTCATATATTTTACGTGGCATCATGACAGCTCAGTTTTATTATATTTGGTTAACTTTGATATATTTTTATCAATAAATTAGCACAACATTCCAAAATACCCTAGGCACAACATGGAAAAATCAGTAAAATTCCCTCATAGTGCATTAATAAAATTTGGTAGTCAAAGATGTATAAGACTAATTTAAATATTGAAGACTGCTATGAGAAATACAATCTAAGTCCAACATTCTAGAAGCACAGTACATGACTTATGTTATTTCTCATCCTCAATGTTGTAAACATAAGTTCACCAATTAACTTGAGTCTTCCATCATAAAAGGAGAACGTGTCATCACAAAGTAATGACATGGATGATGCTCAAAAATTTCCTAGCAATTAGAAATTGTAGGAAAGGAAAGAGCTCCATAATTCTTACTATGTTTGAAATCCTGATTAGGGCCAAAAAAGAAAGCTCAATATGGAAGTGGGGTTGGACTGGTGCTCAAAGTGATTCAACATCACATTATCAAGAAAATGCAAAGACACCCCAACCCCAACCCCCTTCAAGAAAGAAATGAGAATCATAAATACCATTTGTATCATAATTTTTTAAAAATGCATAAAATTAACAAAAAGGAAAGTGGTCTATTGTGGCACAATTTCAACTGCCTCCAAGGACTGTACTGTCACTGTTTATGTCCTCTTAAACTATGCCTTCTTTACAGAAAGCTGAGGTAAGACTGTGTCCCTATAAACACCAAGAGCATTTCTACACAAAAAAGAAACATAGCATTAGACAACATGGAAACATCACATCATTGGGCATATATATCACAGCAGAATCTACAGATTGGAAGAGACCACTAATTCCATTTACATTGAAATATGGGGCAATGGAAGAAAGTGGAATTCACAGGAAGCTCTCCTTCATTACGGTTTCCTCAAGTGGAGTGAATTGTGAGAGTTCTTTTTCATGGGAGCGGTGTCTCCAGCGTACTCTTAGGCGAAGCCGCACCACTTGTAGCATCACGAGCACCAACCAGATGAGGAATTCACACCAATACATGAACTAAGGAAATAAATTTAAATACAAAATTTCAGAGAAAGAAATCCTGAGGGAAAAATGTGGATTATGTGGCAATGCCTATTAATCATTAAAGGACATTTCTTGGATAAGCCCCGTCTAGAATGTGAGGACATGAATGTGCATAAGCCATAGGGAATGCTGGCCAATTACTGCAATCAGTCTCATCAGGCAATCATCCAAAATGTATTCAAGGCATCAATTGCAGAAACCTGACAGAAACATAACATTCTAACAAGCATTAGTTACATTGCATGGAATCAGGAACTTTTCATCAATTTTTCAAGAAGTTCAAAAATACTTCTTGCAGGTCTACAGAAGTAAGTTACAACATGGAAACAGCTACAGGAAGCTGATCCATTTGAAACTGATTCCACAGAAATGCATGGGCAAATCAAAGAAAATGAGGCACTCACCACAGATACATAGATGAGTGCAGTGAGATCCAGGTTGCGATTTGTAGTGAAACGCACATGTTCAAAACAGCTGAAAAAGAAATTTTGAATACTATTTCAACTTCCAGAACCCCAAATATATTGCCTCATTCATGGCTGTGAATTTTTTCAGGTTTCCATCATATCAAGAACATGGCTAGAATTACCATCAGGAAGTCAGTCACAATCATCAATACATATAAGATATTATACTCTTTGAATTTTTTATATTGCTGACATACTCCAAATTTTAATTTTGGTTACATAACAATTGATTATGAGCTGAGTAGAGTAAAATCTGAGAAAAGCATTAAAATCACAAACAAGTCAGCAACCTTATTGTCAGCAATTTTTTAAATGGCAGATTCAAAAGCTCCATTATGAAGTCATTGGCATACCTAACCAGAGCTTAGGACACAAGGACAGACTACTAAAATGAGGGAAAGCTATAGTGGTAATGATGTATGAAGCATGCATGAATGATAATGATTCATCAGCTAGATTCCTTGTTGATCTCAACACCACTTTCCATCAACACATAATACCAGGAAATCCTTGACTATCATCTATGTCTCTGGTCCATCAATATAGAACCTTATCAGAGCATGGCATAGCTAATACTACCTTTCTTGTTCTTGTGCATAGGGCGAGAGGTCTTTTTCCATGATCTGCCTCCTGATCTGTGAACACGTCTCAACAAAGCCAGCACTTGTGAAGGCTGCACAAACCCCTACTACAATGGTCACCACTGTATTCAAAAGGAGGAATGGCCAAATACTCGTTCCATATCTGAAAGACAATATAAATGACACTGAATCTTTTCATTCTACAAAGCAATGTAGTGAGAGAGACTTACATTTTCTATAATGGAAAGGCTTGTGATTATGTACAAATGTATGTGAAGCATATACATATCAAAGAAAGTACCAAGAAACTGAGCTTGATGCTAGCAGTTTTATTTTATTAATAAGGAATACTAACTCAAATGCCATGGTGTGATCTCCACAACAGAAAATATCTCTTAGCGACGAGAAAGGAAGCCAATTCAGAAAGTCATAATCAAATCATTTGAGGACTGTCTCAAATATAGGTCACAAGCAATCAGCATTGAGCAGGCTCTTTGAGCCAGATGAGCTATTGTGTCAAATTCCATGTTACTGCTCTAATGTTACCATAGTGGATTCACTACTATAGGAGAAAAAAGGTCAGTCACTACAGTGACCTTAGAATAATTCTGTACATTATGGACTTGACTTTAGAAATGCCTCAATGGGACTAACTGAGTGATTCTTCTGAGTGTGAAGTCAATAAGACTTGGTCTACTGCTCATTAAATTTTCCAGATAGCAGTAGGGACCATTATTGGAAAATGTCTGGTTATGAAGGTAGATCTCACAAATAAGAAATATATAGAATCCAAGACTCTTAAAAAAAAAAGAAAAGGATTGATAGCAGCCTTACATAACTTTCAGGAGAATATGGAAAAACAGCTTTTGGCTACATGTCCTCAAGTCACAAGCTGGAGATTCCAAAATGAAAATAACACTTTTTATCAATAGCATTACAAACACTGCAACACAGAATCCATTTCCACAGTTTCAGCAGATAGAGCTGCAATTAATGTCCTCTCTTCCCAACACATTAACCCTTAGGGGGCCAAGTATTTTGGATAAGTCAGCACTGTCATCTAAGTTTTTTCCATCCCTCATCATGAGGTCAACATGTGATAACTTGGGCATGAACTCCAAAGGGTTAACTAATTATGAAAATTGGCTAATTGTATGACAGGAATCATAGAGATAAAATTCAGCATGGCATCAAAATAACACCCATATGGAAATGGGACTATAGAATAACTTTAAGTCAAGAATATCTTCCCTTGCTCCAAGGAATGGCAGTTGCATGTCAAAATGCTTTGCATATTACCAAAATACCTGTGATACATAATTAGGGAATGTACATTTTCTGCATGTATGTCAGTGAGGGATTAAGAGACTTGATTGCTAAGTTACATATGCTTCCAGCTTCCCAGACATGCATTCCAAACTTGCAAGTCATAATTATGCTTACTTTGGGTGAATTTTTAAATATATCTGAAACATTACTTTCTTATGACAACTCAGTTGAGGCCAGTATCATCTGATGAATTCATTATACAAGCTATAATAGAAGAAACTACACCCAAGAAAGCCACCAGAGAATCCAGAATTTCCTCCAGCCATGAGTACAACAGCTTGACCATCACACCAACAAATCAAGTAGAGAGGGTATCAACCTTCATGAATCATCAATTTTTTTGGGTTCCTCCCATTTTCTCCATCTTCAACAGGGAAACCAGTCCCATTATTCTCAATAATTTTAAATCTCTCTTAACCAGAGATAGAGGGGTAATCAGACAGGAAGAGATCACTCACTGTCAATATATGAGTAAGTTTCAGCCAATCCAGCCAACCCACTCCCTCTTGACCTCATACTTAAATATCTAGGCATGATAACCTACTCAGTTCTATTTTTATTTGGATTTTGTAAAGTAAAAACTAAAATAATTGAGTAAAAGCTGATGCTTTTTTGATGTCACAAAAGCAAAAAATATTATTACTCAGGTTCTTCAGAAAGCCAAAGCCCAGAATGGTAACATGGGTACTCACGAGATATCTTTGTTGAGACTGGTGACAACTTTACAGGACTTGTATGTGAAGTAGGAGCCAAGCAGGGCACTGATTCCAATTGCAGCCAATGGAAGGAAGATAGCAGTGTGGCAGATGTTCCGATTGGAGCCCACTTGCTTCTTCTCCTCATAGCGTATCACAGTGACAAACAACATGCAGCCTGGGTTTTCCTGCCCATCAGTAGGATTCAGCACTACCTAGATATGGAATAGGGAGTCAGGAGATACAGTGACCTGCAACTCACGTCAAAGTGCTATAGCTACCAATGTATTGAATTTTCTGTCAATTACATACAAACATTGCATTCCCAGGACACTGACCTCTACTTCTGAGTCATAACTGTATCTGTTTGCAGTTTAAGGGTATTAACTATACAGCAAGTACCTCATGCTGACAAATGTTGAACTCACATCATACTCATTCTGCACCAGGAAGAGAGGAATGAAGATAAGGAAGCCAACCAGGAAGGCAGTCCAATAGAAAATGGTGGTTGTAACAAGAACACATGTGCTCGCCATGTAAAGAATTCAATATTGGCTGATGCTTCTTTTCTAATCAGCTGGCACCTGAATGAATACTTCTATCTGACCACTTTTGATTCATGCTTCAAATCTTTCCAACTCCTTCCCTTCAAATCAAGCCAATAAAAATGTTTTCCCGAGTGTCCCTGAAAAGGATGACAATTTTATTAAGGGTTTAGTAAAGACTGAACATTATCCCACTGAAGATGCATGTGGGCCCACAAAGTATAAACAAGTACTTATTGATTCTCTTCCCACCGCTTTATACCTTATAAGGAGAAGTAGAAACTAGGTGAAGTCAACTAAAACCAATTTTCCTAAACAGCTGAAAGACTTCATGGAGTGATTTATAGAAAGGGAGATCAAGTAAAATTTGAAACTCACTATTCTACATCATGACATCAAGTGATATTGTCATACCATCATTTGAACATTCCAATACCTTTACAGTCATGACTGAATGAGCCAACATTGACTGTGAGAATAAAATTTAAATGAATGAACCTGTGAAACTTTTTTATTTATTTCTGTTACGATTCCCAATACTTGGTATTGCTGAAAGGGATGACTGAAGAAATGAAAATTCTCAACTCAAATTGATAACTGAATGATGACCAGGTAAAAATAAACTCATAACACTGAAACATCCCCTAATGATAACTTCATAACAAGATCTAAAAGTTATTGGGAGAATCAGTTAGGAGTTTAGTATACAAGGTATAGAATACCCTCTTGAATTGATGATAATTTTATCAATGATATCCAGATTTTAGAAGTAGACAGAAGGCTCAGCAAAAGAAGTTACATGAACAATAAACAGAGAAATAAGAGCTCTACTCCTTTGGGATCAGCTTCATCTTATGATTAATAAAACCACTCATCTGCAAAATCTCACTGCCTGCAACTGATGGAAGCAATCAAGTAGGAAGAACAAATTCAATCCCAAAATGGCATAAGTTACCCTGTGAGCACATGAGAAAGACCACTGTCAGACTAACTCTGTGAATTCATCACCACTCACTGTGAATGAGTTTGAGTGCCTGCTCTTTGATATTATTCTTCAAAACAATGGGCACAAATCTCAACACCAATTAAGAGGGTCACTCACATGTGTTAGAATATACTTGGAGGTTCACGATGAACTCCATTACTAACTAAACGTTCCTTGTTTAACCTTTAGGATGCTAATAACACCTATTCAAGGCCTATTTTACACTGCCACTGACAGCTGTATTGAGAATGAACTTTTACTACTTCCAGTCTTCTCTTTGCATGCAACCAAGGTGAGGGGAATTATCCCAGGAAAGAAGTGGGACTAGGTCAGTGGATCCCATGCTAAATGATAGATACTTAGTAAAGTAATAGTGCTTTCTGCACGAGTTCCATGAATCCTATGGAAGCACTGGCGTTTTTGGTGTTACTGTGGGGACACTTATCGTATTCCAGTTCACGTTGTACGCAATAATGGAGGAAACGTTGGTTTTTCTGGAATCGGTAGATCCATAGATAACAATGGCCTGCATTAAAAGAGGGTGAGAATGGGAACGGAGAACCAAAGGGAGTGAAGGCTGCCGCCATGGTTTGACAGTCTTCTTTCTACGCTGTTCACACGTGGGCAAGGAACTTGGACGCACGAGCGAGGCTTGGACCCAAGTAGCAGTTTCTTACTCTCAATAATCAATTCATAAATTCCAATAATGTCAATATTCACGAGCGAAAGTTAGTATGCATCAGTAGTGATCGCAACGAAGAGACAGTGTTGCGCCGCGATGGAGTTAGTTGTGATTACGGTCGAAAACTCCCGCACTTCCTGTTCGGAAGCAGATACATGCAGGAGGGCTTTTCTTCCTGCATCTCACCTAACCTAAAAAAAATACCTTCAGCAGTATCTTTTGCTACTGCTTTTCGGACTTGCAGCTCACGCCGGGTCACTCCGTGTGGCTGGAGCAATCTCACGACCTTCTGGTCGGCTCGATTGAGGTTGCGGTTGAGACTGTGTGTCTTGAAGAACTTGCCAAGGAGGACATGGCCTGCCTTTTGCCTCATGGGTTGAGCACATGTCTTTGTTTGGTGACATTTATTTTCTTTTCGAATTTTACTGGGTGCTGCAGTGGTCATGGATCTAGGCCAGCCTCTGTAGTCTAATGTGGTTTTTGCCACAGGAGTCCCTATGTTATATTGGGCCTGCTGGTATACAGTCATAAGTTACAAGCTAAATATGGATAGGATTTCCACAGTTTTTCCAAGAGATTCGAAGTTGCATGTCTTGACCATGCACCAGGTAGAGTATTCATGTACATAAGGCCTATATCTGCTCTAGGCATAGGTGTTGCTCATTGCACATGTCAGTACAGTGGTATCTGGTTACAAAGAGAATGGTGGAAGATTTACTCATTGCTCCATAAAAACTGGTTTATATGATATACATTGCATTTTTCTCATTTTCATGTCTGATATTTCAATCCACTGAAAATAACATGAAATCAAATATCAGCCCTTTCTGCCAAGCACACAGGATGAGAACCTTATCTGCCATGCAGTGTTGCTGGCAAGCAACACTGCATGGCAGGGTTTGTGCACATCCTGAAGCCTATGCAGGACTCAGTGTGCACAATGGTATGTAGATGTGTGTAATTACAATAGCGGAAAGGTTTAGGCTGATGTTTTATTTTATTTCCATGTTTTCAGTTAACTGAATCTCTTATAATTGCATGTTAACAAAATGTCATTAATACAAAGGTCTATGTTTACATGGTAGGCAAGAAAAAATTACTATTTGGGTTGCATGCTGGTGCTTGTAATATTTCACTAGTCTATAATGCACACTCGAGCATAACTTGACCTATCAGTGGGTTGTTGATGTCTGACCTGTTTACAAATGCACCAAGATATGGGGAGAACAAAGATTAAGAAACTCACAAGATTGTGATAATTTGTTACTTGGTCTGTTGTTTTAACCCCTTGGCTTATGAAAGCAGAGAAGTGACATGAGCATATGTAAGCTCATGTTGAAAGGTGGTCTTTTCCATATAAGTGGCAATTGCTACATTTGTGTGATAGATGCTCCAATGGGGTTTACTAGGTTGACATCACTAGCATAGATGTGCCCACACACTGAGCACCCACGGCAGAAGCATATACACTATTTTAGCATAACCCTTGTGAATAGTGATGTTATATGTTTCCATGCTGTCATGGAAAAACACTTCAGTATTGGGTATATCACTTCAGCAAGAATAGAAGAAAATGATGATGATCCCCATCCCTGCATTAGGGGAAAGATGGGACCTGGTGGTACTGAGTGTTCCCATGCTGGGAAAAGTACATGAAAGTCCCTAATCATGAGAATGCTGCTATTCCTTTCTGCTATGGGAACCATGCCTCAACTACACTATTAGCTGACCACTGTGCGACTTGAAGGAAACTGGAGTTTTTGGGGATAAGACCTGTGATTCTTCTCTCAATGATTTGAATCAACTTATTCCTTGTAGCTAGATGGATCAACCCACCTGAAATGCCATACCTTTGCCCTCAAGAAATGTGCTTAGAAACCAATTTATACATTTACTATATATTCATATAAAAACATTCTGGAGTCAACAAGGCATAATATAACTGATTTCCATAAAGTTCTTTTTAGTGATTCTGAAGATTTACTGTAAAATCATGATAGTAAATCAATGGGAAGTGATCAAGTCTTGCCCTGCTTGACGCAAATGTTGCTAATGTGTTCAATTTTCCCTGTTCCATATGGAATCTATAATGTGAAAAATGCTAGGATGTTTACTGAATTTTTTCCCTCACTGAAGCCAAAGCAACCAGGACAGCCACAGTGAAGTATTCTTGATTCCTGATGAAAGGCAGATGTAGATGAACAGAGTGGTAGCAGCCCAGCCAGTCTAACAAGTTGGGGCTGCCATGACATTCCAGCATGTAGGAATCAGGAAATGGGAGTTGAAAGTTGGACTTACAAAAGCAAAATATTCTCAGAAGTTTTCAACTTCAACGATGAGATTTTACCTTTGTCACTGTTTATGAATGAAAAAATTCATAAATCCTCCAAGTTATATCCATATATATATTTTTTTTACATATCCCAAGAAGTGTCAAGCTGAGTTGAGATGGTACTGGGATTGAGCAGGCCTGACTATTGTGTACCATGGGTTCTGCTGGCTGACATAAACTTAGGATCTTTATGCTATTGTCATAAACAATTAGACCAGAGCATGCATATTGCCTTTCACATCAATAAATTAGTTGGCCTGTATGCCAAGTTGAATTCAACTGAAAATAATAAACATTTAAACTGCTGAACGAACTTAACAGGAAATTGGTCTCACTGACTTGTGCATCTAAAACTTACCCCTCTGTGATGTAGAACAAAGACAGAGCATGAACAGGACATTCTGAAGGGAACTTTCTATCCATTGATTGAAACAGCAGGAGCAGCTAGTGTGATTGGTGATGCATGTGTCTTGCCATCCAACATTCCACATGTCATATGTACATGCCTAGCATAAAATCTTTTAGATTCAGCACATTCTACTGAAAACCTATACAATCTGCTGCATTAATGGTTGCCACCATGTATTTGTGTCACTGCATCCAAAGTGTCTTGAAAACCTCTTGCCAATCAGTTGGTCTGGCAGTCACAGGGGAATTGGCATCCTTCCCTCCCAAAGTGGTCAAAGCTAGATGTCATGTTATGCTTGGTCTGATTTTTCATCATGTGGATTTATCTCCCCAGTTACTGGAAAATGAGAGTCACATACCTGTGAGTTCGTCATGATTAATTTTAAAGACATCCATTAGTTGCACACTACCCCAGTTACAAGTGCACAAGTTTTGGAACAAAAGAAGCTAGGCTAAGCACACCATGGCGCACTGAACTTGCAACTGAGGATATGAAAGGAACTTCACTATTTTTGCCATTCCACCATTGGAGGACTGATGGGGAATAAAAGGGTTACTTCCATTGAATGTGCTTAAGATGCCATCACACCAGCTGCTCATGTAAGTCACGAGGCTCTCATTTAGCGTTTGGCATTCATCCTGTTCCTAAATTTGTGCTTTTGATGCATTTCCCTTTGGAGAAGTTGGATGTGCTGTTGGAGTCACGTCGAGAAACGAAAATACAGGCAATTGTAACGGGCGCGGCATAATACAGTATATATGGCGGGGTCAGTATTCCGTTAATACATCGTCCATTTCTCGTCGCGTAGACTTGAAAAATTTTCTCAGATTCTCCGTTAGATTCTCTTCATGACCTCGTCCTTTTGTCATTGCAAAAATCACCACTATTTTCCGACACGCAAGATAAGCGAGCAGTCCAAGCAGAACAATTTTCTAACCCGACTTCCTGCCGAATTCGCTTCACAACCTGTTTCTGGGGGTGGGGGGGGATTCGCCCCGCGGAAAGGGGCAATAATAAAACAGGCATTTTTATGTGGTTAACTTCCACTTCATGCAAAATAGAACTAATCGGGACGATAGGAAAATTAAAATTTTTACGATATTTCATGTTGTGCCGTGCAGCCTCCTACCAGCGTACCGGTGAGTCTGATTGCAGTTTAATAATCGGGCAGAGGCGGCCCCCCCCCCCCCCCCCAACTTTCCTTCGTATATGCGGCTTGATGTCACGATGGGTCGATGCATCGATACCACCATCGATGGTTTGAAGAATCGGTCGTTTTTTCGACCATCGCGATGTATGCGCAAAATTTTTGATGGGAAATGCCCCATTTTATTGAGCCGAGTACAGTACAATACGAGGAAAGAAAGAGGCGGCGAGCAATTTCTTATCACGATCAATTTCTGGAAATGCGGGACTGACTGTATGTATGAGAGAAGAGAGGAAAAAGAAAAGTTTGTAATCGGAGACAGGAAGTGGGAAAAGGAGTGGGAGGGAACACTATTTTTTTTCTCTGTATTCCTGTCTTTCTCTTTAGTATGGAGGCTTAAGTTTTTGAATTTTTAACTTGGCCTTGGGGAATTATACCTCTTTACTTAAGGTGAACCCCAAGCGAATTATTTACTCGGACGTTGCTTGAATCCAGGGCTATGTGAAAGGGCATGGCAACTGATTCTCAATGACAATAAGATAAAATTAGGACTGTCCTTACGAATTCATCGACGAATGGATGTCATTCAGGGCCGTTTCACAATATTAAAAGCAAGTACTTTTTTTTTTTATCTGGTTAGCGTGGAAGAAAATGCCTTGACTTGGCTTTGATTCGTAACAAATGTTACAAAATGATTTCCATCAGTTCCGACTCCCTGTCAGCCTCCGGGGATGAGGCCGTAATCGGCAGAGTTGCGGTGGTGCTTCGCGTCGGCGTCGTTTGGTGGGGGGGATTGGCATTTGGAACTCCTTGCATTGAGCGTCAATATGCCTAGAAACGGCCCTGCCAGTTTCAGGTCGTCGATCAGAGTCCCCTTCGATGTCACATTGTCCCACTTACCATACTACGTATTTCGGACAGCCGCAAAGAGGATGCTTAGAAGTCGGACATGTCCTGGGAAAATATCCGGACTTATAGTAACCCAACACTCGATGACATGGGCCAGTTCGTCCCAGATCAGATGCTTCAAGTGGTTCGAGTCGGGAATGCTCGGTGAGCAATGGTCCTTGTCGATATAAGAGGGGAAATTGACTAGGCACCATTGTTGCGACAGTCGATGAGTTTCACACCATCTTGGAAATTCCAGTCGTCACCGAAGATCTCCTTGCCGTACTTGAGTGTCACCAGACGCACTTCTCGCGTGATCGGCAGACCCATTCTCGTAGATGACCAGCGGTGCCACGCCCTTCGATAAGGCCCCGAGCCAGACCATAACCTGAGAAAATCCCGTTTCTGCTCAATGCCACCCTTCCCATCGACTTCAGGGCGATCCACTGCCCATACTCGATCGTTTTGGGAGTCGTAGCCACCGTCGATGTCGAACATGACGTCGAAAAAGAGAATGCGCATCGTGTCTTCCTTTGGACATTTTGGCGCATTCGATTGGCGAACTTCATCCTTGTGGTCGGCTTGGAGCGATTCGATAGTCTTCTTGAAGGACCGAAGCCGGAGATCATTCTTGAGTATTCGACGAACGCTCCGCTCCGAAGTGTCCAGTTCGCTTATCAAATTTAGAACGGACACGCGTTTCTTCCGTTTCATTGACCTTGACCTGATTGGTTATCTTCGATCGGACCGCGCGTGGACATCCAGGTGGGACTCCACTGTTCGATAGAGCCAGTTTGGAAGTCGTCTCGTACCATCGTTCGATTGTGGGAAGCATTGGCGTAGGGAAGCGGGGGGGGGGGGGGTGTTTAGGGGGTCAGAATCCCCCCCTGGGCTTCCTGGTTAGTGACGCTGACAGGCCTTCCTTAGGAATTACACAGTTTTAGCTATCCCCATTCGAGGAAAGTCCAATGCCCATCCACAGACCCAAGATGCCAGACCACCATTTATTTAAAAAGGTAAACTCCGGGTGGTGGAGGTAAGCGTAGAGTTGGGGTGTCTACCTGGCCTCAACCCCCCCCCCCCCTTGCCGATTTCCTGCCTACGGGAAGACCCAGGGCACCGTTCAAATCCTGGAAGATTTTGTCTCCATTTTCGCGTTTTGAAAGAACAAGGTTTTGGAGGACGTTTCATGATCCGAAGAAGAAACGTTGCAAGCATATGTAAAACCAAATACACTGCTTTGTAGAGGATTGAATGGAGAGTCTTAGAAAAAAAAGTTTGAGTCTTAAGAGTCGAAAAGTGGACGATATATTGACGGAATTCTGACCCCGCCATTTATTCTGCTGTGCCCGTTAGATACCCATGCATTTATATAAATGTTCCTGCATCTACTTTTCGCAGGAATGATGTTTTTGAAATTACTGGGGCAGCTGTAATACTGAAAAGATTGGGGATTTTGTGTCTGGAATGGTGCCTTTACAATTGTCTACTTCTAAATTTCGATGACAATAGGTCATAGGGATTGTTTTCCTTGCACGCAACTTTACACCTGCACATCCTAAATTGCTGATGTATACACCACATCCTGCAGTCGTATTCCTCCCTGTGGGTTGTCTAGGGGAGTTCAATGGGGCAGTCAGATGTCAAGTCAGACATATTCAGGTCATGCTCTTCATGTGTGATCCACTTCTCTCTCCATCTTTTGCTGCCTTCATGTCCCCCCCTCTTCAAAGAGAACTCTCATGCTGCTTTTCATATCATTCTTGCTCTCTGTAGCATGCCCTCTTTGCTCATGTCATCATAATCACTTAAACCTTTAGATGCCCATTCAGTCATTTGTTAAAACCAGTCAGCTATTATAAGCACATGCAAGTTATATACAGGAACTACCCTTGCATACCAGAGCAGGCATGCAAGGGTGGTTCCTGTTCATAGGCGATGAAGACCTCTGTGCTTTGACAGCATCTGTATATTGCTCCAATTGGCACACAATGTTGGAAATGGTGACATAAGCACCCTCTGAGTGTCCAGCTACTTCCATCTTGTTGAGGAGTATGATGGCAGAGCCATCAATCCCTTTGCTTAACACTTGGATCTTAAAAGCACAATGCATCACATCTTAACCCTTTAATGCATGATATAGCATATCTGCTACATTCCAAATAAAAAATTTTAGAATGCATAGGTAGCAAGCTCTAGCAGTAAGTCAGTTCATAGCAGATGTGTGACAGTCCAGTCCTTCTACCTAGTACCCCAGCAATCACTAGCTGCCCTACACTCTTGGTGGCAACCAAATTAAAAACACATGGTTTTGTCGTGTGACAGACTGATGTTGCCAGTGCAATGATATTCAACTTCACCCTAATCCAGGGTCCAGGTTCATCTGTATTTTTGCATTTTCTTTTGCACTGAAGTATGTATGAATGTTGACTTACTGACTGAGCTCTCTAGCCTCCATGCAGCATGGGTTAGAAAGCTGAAAATGTTGTTTGTAGCAAATATGCAACAATAACATTTTTAGGCCTACTACTTACAAATTCGAGGAAGGAATTTTTTTATACACTTTTCACATGTTCTAGAACCTAAGTAAAACTTTCCAGATTATTTTTGCCAAAAGAGGAAAAATAATGCATAAAAGGGTTAACCATTTCACTTTTTCTTTTGCTCTCTCACTTCCAAGATTCCACTCCTAAGTTTATGTGATGAGGTAGATATGATCTTCACTTTGGGACATGTCTCTGCATAGAATGTTGTTTAGCCATGAATTAACCAGGAATAGTTGCAGTAATTCATGTCATCCTCAATAATCTATGGTAACACCATAAGAAGAGTGTACACAAGACTAAAAGGTCACTGTTAACTCTTTTCATAAGTGTACAAATATGTGGAACTTGACAATACCTGGCTCTTCCTTGCTTTTTTTTTCAGGTTGGGCTCTTATGAACATGACTAGGCTTCCTCATCCACTTCTGCGAATCATTTGACCAAAGAGAAATGGATTGGGTCCATTGCAATGCATGTTATCGTCAGCCAGATGATCCTGATTGTACTCCTGTGCACATGACAGATTGCAGTCACCTGTTCTGCAACCTTTGCTGGCAGAAACATACACATGCACCAGGAAATGGAGGTAAGGCTATCATGCTTATGAGTGAGAATATGCAGTAGACCCTGAAATAAATTCCCTTTCCTTCATGTCAGTTCTTCAACATCCTTGAAATTTCTGGCTTCTTCTAATTTGCAACTGCAAACATTCACTTGTAGGATCTCCTGTCTTTGTATGTCCTGAGTGTAGAAAACATGCAGCTACTTACCCTCTCACCAGCCAAGTGAGTCCAATCTGCATGCCCAATTGACCAATTGGGAGATAATTCTAGTCAGACCTATCTAAGAAGTAAAGGAGTTGAATTAACCTTGTTTATGCTCGCCTATTCAGACAGGTGGTCGACCGCGACGTCTCTGCCAAAGCATAACCACAACAGCATCAGAATGCTTCCGCACTCTCATGGAAGCCATTGAATTCCAGAAGACCCATAGTCATCACCTTTTTAAGCAAAATAAAGATAAGGTACTGGAGAGCCTAATGTCTTTCAAGATTATTTCTTCTATTTCTTCTGTTTTTTTTTTAAATATTTATTTATTCCTCCTCACCCTTAGAAAAAGGATTATATGTGAAGAAAATAATGGAGATTTTTTAACATGCTTTATGGGTTGGGATAACAGTAAGCCTCAGTGTATGCTGAGTCCAAAAGTACTAGTTGCTAGCATGAAGGAAGAATTGGAGAAAATACAGTCTGATTTCCATCTGTTCCCTACATGTTAGTGCCAGAATAATATTGAATAGGGCTGATCCCATTGACCAGTTTGAGTCTTACTGAAATCTTGCAAACCTCTGGTAGATGTAGGTGTTCTTTGCTAGCCATTGTCTTTTTGAACACTATAAAATAGACAATAGATAGGTTCAAATAGACAAGTCTATACAATGTGGTTTCTGTTCAATCAATCCAATATAGAACCGATGCATTATTCCTTGCTCCTGTAGATAAATTTGCTGAAAGGAAGGATAAATGTCATGATGGCAGAATACCAGAAGTTGAGGGCAGAGAAGCAGGCAACCGATAAGAAGCTCTTAGCATCAGAACAGCGTCTTGTTGAAGCTAGTGGGGAGAAGCAAGAAACTGAACATAAGCTTCATGTTACACAGAAACGCCTAATGGAAGTTGAAGAAGAACTGCAGAAGCTACGCAGGTTTGCTGTTCATTGGGGCATTTGTACACAGTGAATGTGAAGTGCTACGTACACTCAAAGAGGGAGAATGCATTACACCCTAAGTATCATTTCATTAAAAGCTATACATCAAGTTTTGTACTCGTTCAAGTCATGCTAATTGGATCATTGCTCAACATATTGCTTACACTCAGTTATATCATGGGTCTCTTTATGCATCCCAAAGATCACATAAAGCATTGAATAAATTTTCCTTGGGTGGCATCATGCATACACAAGACCTGATGGAACTCTCAAAGGACCATATCAAATCTTAATCCAATTAAAAAAATTAATTCCTATAGTGACCTATTGAAAAAAATTGACTTGTCCAATCAATAGGTGCATATCAAATAATTGTAAATAAGCACATTTCAAGCAATTGTAAATAAATCTTAATCAGGCAGAAGTACTTTAATGGGTTGCTGACAGGACCATACTGACCCACTAGTGGAGTGGGCTAATGCCCTGTGGTCTGGCCCCCCCCCCCTCACTTATGGGTTGGCTCAGCATTGAGAAAGTTTTGAAGTTCTATTTCAGCATAAAATGTTATTTTAAAATTTTCATGTTTTCAATTTTCATCATTTCATATATGTTCTTATTTTCAAATATTATTTACTAAGTATTTTCATTTATTCAGATATGAGTCATGGGAGAATCAAAGCATTAATTAGTCCTGTATATTAGCCTGATGAAGGCTGAGCCTAAATATGGTACCAATCCAAGAAGCTTGATTGCTAGTTCTCTTTATTCTTTGGTGATGGCGCACAGGTAGAATGAGTAATTATTTATAAAGGAAGGCATATTTCTGTCAAGAATACTTATGTTGATTGATTACTGTTCTATCTCTGTGCCTCAAAGCAGTAGCATAGTGGAAGTGTCTTTAGGCCTTTTCAGTGTCATAGGTATTAATTCTAGAGAATTGAGGTGAATAGTCCAGTTTTCATAATGCCTCCTGCTGTACCTGACATAATTTGTTCCTTTTCCCAGAGAGAATGCTTCCTTCCTGCAAAGGTTATCTGCAATTGCTTCAACACAAGCCCAAGTGCACCCCCAAGCCACATACACTTCAACGTATTCCTGCCCTCAGTCTCGTGATTCCACACCAGCTCTACAGATGACTTCTTACCAGAAACCTTCAAGTGTTGAGATGCAGTCACTGAGGCACAGCCATGCCCCAGTGATCTCCCATGGGCCATATGGGGGGAGTGGGAGGCATACAAATGATGGCACTGTGCACAGGCCTTCTCCACTAGATGCTATCAGGCAGAAAAGCTTTTCACCAAGTACACCAGGGGTTGGAAGTTCCCTTCATAGTATCTCTCCAAATCGAGGGAGTGCTCACCTGCCTATCTCAGTAAGTTCTCTTCATTAGAATATGAGGCATGTCTGACTGGCTCACTGTATCTCACCCCATGAGGTTTTTCTCTGAGAGTATCTCATGGTTGAAGTCAGCTGAAAATTATTGTAATATGAAGTTGAAAATTTTTTGGCATACCCTGTACCGTAAGTGATGTCAATTTTATTTAGAGATTTAATACAAGCTTTGCCAACCCTACATATAGATTGGCTCAGGACATCAATTAACTTTTATGCATTCATTTCCCACTTGATCTGTAAATGCTGTAGTGTGATTCGTAGGAGTGATGGTAAATGCTAATGGTAAAAATAGGACCTTAGATGAACATCATTGCTGTACAACTTTGTAGCAGCAAACTTGTTCAGCAAGGCTGAGAAGCAGTTTGGTGACAAATGATCGACTGACCCTGCAGCACATCTCTCCAACTCTTCCCCTATCTTCCCCAAGTCCCCAGCAGTCCCTGGCATCCCGTGGCACCATGGGGGGCGATTCAGGCCCCTGGAGGAAGCCTCCCTTGCCTCAAAGAACATTCTTGCCACTGGGAAGTGTTGGCCTCACCCCGGACTCCGTCAGTAGCAGCAGCCTCACCTCTCCCTATTTCCAATTGTATGTTCCCTGAAACTGCTTTCATGCTAAATCAGACTTGACGGAACAAGGCAGGAAGAAGATAGAGTTTTCTAATGAAGGTATCCAACGAAGCTTACTTGGTCTAATTAAACTTCTTTATTGTTCCCATGACCAAGGGAAGGAGTTGAATAGACCAGTTTTCTTAAAATTTATATTATTCATGTTTCAATATTCTGTCATGTCTGATTCTTTGAGAGAAAGCATTTTCACTTTCCCCCTTCCCTGTATATCATCCTTGGTAAAGCTTTCCCTCACCCATAACCTTCTGGGTCATGGCCGATATTAAATTATTTAGCCAACTCGTGCAGGAATTCTATTTTAGTTGCTTGAAAGGAGACTACATGCTGCCCAAAGGTCACAGGTTGCATCACACCCCTAGATTATTGCTAAGAAACCATCTCATTTGTTTTTGCTCAAGTATAATACAGGTTAGAGTCTGGGAAACTGAGAATTCCTTTTTTTTTACTCAGCTGTCTGGATTTGTCATAAGGTAGGCATTGGGGTGAGACAGCATTAGGAGTCTTATTTCTTTCCTGATTCAAAGCACTTAAAGCCTTGTCTATTCATTTGTATCTTACCATTTATTCCCTTGCCTCTCTTTGCAGGACATCTCGCTATTGAGTCAACTCCAAGAAAATGTGGTTCAGACAGACCTGAATGAAAACTGTGCAGTGGGATCATACACATGGTTGATACTGTACGATTCAGTTTTTGTCTACTTGGTGGTCTCATTTTTCTGTCAAACCACACATTTCCTTTTCCTTCTTTGCTTTGTAATGACCATAATTTCATGGTTTTATGATCTGATATAAGCTGATGTTTTCAAGGTGGTATACATAAAAGAGAATCCTCAGAAACTCTTCTTCCAGAATGCCTCATTCCCATGTAGGAATTAGGATTTTGTTGAATATTGATTTGTTCTAAATAATGTTGTTATACTAATATGTTGTTCCTCTTGAAAGATCTCATGACGTTTAGCTTGAATGAACCTCCATAGACAAGAAATATTGAAAGCATTTTGCTGATGTCAATGCCATAAACAGAAGAAAAATTTCATGGACTTGTGTGCAGCTCCCTGAACTTAGAAATATTATGTTCCCATTCATGGTTTTCTATATACTTCCTTTATTAAAATAAAGGTTGCTCATATCACTGCTTATGAAATTTCTCTGCTGGCTCAGGCCTGCATATCAGTAGACTCATGTCCATTGTTCATAGGACTGTCACGATGGCAGTTTTCGAAACATCAATGCATCAACCTGAACTATCAATGGTGTATCGATGCATCGAGGTGGTGGGGAGGGATGCTGGATGATTCAATCTTTTCTTGCCATGATCAGGCTGAGGTTTGACTTCTGTCGTTACTTGCCTTGATTGGAATGTGGATCTCTGTCTTCCATAATCTCATGCATGTGATTGGTAGGTGCACGGGGTAAGTGTGATCTACACCATGAGCAATGAAGCCTATCATGCTTCCAAGTATTGAAAATGACATCCATTCATCGATGGATGCATTAGGACAGCCCACTTTTTTTCTTGTTGTTGTTGATAATCAGTTGCCAAGTCCATTCACATGGTATTTTTCCCTCTTTTTCTTCATTCTACACAGTCTTATTTGGATATTGGCTCCGGCAGATAGCAAACCTGCTGATAGTGCCATACCAGGGATTGCTGAAATAACAGTACAGCCCTACAATAAGCAATGTCCATGAAAAAATTTCACTTTGGGTTCACCTTAAGAGGTATAAATGTTTAAGGGCAAGTTTTAAATTGAGCCTGCATAAGACTCCATACTAAAGAGAAAGACAGGAATTTAGAGAGAGGGATTTACCAATGTACATTTCGAAATTAGGGAGTATAACAGTCCACTTTCACAGCCTGGACCTGATGACATCAAGCTGAAGGTGGAAGCAGAAGAGAAAAAAATATTATTGATCTTCCCTCCCTCTCCTTTCCCACTTCCAGTCTCTGATTCCAATTTTTTTTTTCCTTCACATCTTTTATATGGTCAGTCCCAGCATTTCCAGAATTTGATTGTGATAAGACCCATGCTGGTCCCATTGCCTCTTCCTTTTCCCTGCTTGGACAGACTATTGGACTGTACTCACCTCATTCCAACAGGAAATTTCCCCTTCAAAATATTTTGCCGATACGTTGGAATGATAGTTTTTTCTATCGATACCGTCGTCCACCACAGTTCTTGATAAGACCAAGATAAATCAGGAGAGAGCCTAAGCTGCTACTTGCAGTGTCACCAGGAAACAAGGGATACCAGAGTCATGTATGGCCACTTGCCAGATTGAAAGGAAAAGGATATACCGCTGCCACCAGTGTCACGTATGAGGCTCTTATGGTGCTGTTGAGAGAATGGGTAGCGTTGATTCGTTTGCCATTATTGTAGTGGGCAGATGCTGGCATAGGTTCAGCACCAAGCCTCACGTGAACAGTATTGCGTGGTAGGGAAAGGAAATACACTTGATACCATTTGCACAAGGTTTAATAGTTTTAGGACAGAATATCCTCCGAATGGAGGTCACCAGGATGTGGACGAAGTGGTAGTAGCATTCTGTTGTTTTCAGGAAGTGATGAGAGACACTCAAAATGCACTGCCGAGGAGTAAAAGATCCACGAATACCTCAGGAATGCCTGGAGAATGCTAGAATATCAGGGGACCTCCCCTATTTAAGGGTAAAGCTGGCCGGAGAAAGTAGTCCTCTGGCCCAAGGTGAGGGGGCTGGGTTCATGCCCAATGGTGAGGATGAAAAGGGGTCACAAACGGATAGAAAACCCCGTTTGAGTACATGACGCCTCCAACCATTGATAGTGGTATTGATGCATTGTCTATCGTGACAGCCCTAATTGTCATTGTCCATGTCCATACTTGTTTGTGCTAAAGAGAAGAGTAACTTATGAGCTGAGCAGATCTTTTATTGCAGTGCCAAAGTGGCTAGGAAATATTAGTCTAATGCCACATTCTTCATGAACAAGAAGCAGAATGCTGCAAGTAATTACTCCATCAATTACAAAAATGGACGATAACCTTCCATTTGACGACCGTGGCGATGACGAACTGCTGAGCATGGAATATGCATCATCTGCTCATGGCTCCGGATCCACTTGTTTGCAACTAGAATGTAAAAATTTCAATATTTCCATAAAAACTGGAACAGAATGAGAAATTAACAGGATTCAAATGATCCATTTTCAGGCATGATGGTAAAAAATCAAGACCATTTTAAAATGCTACTTGTGATTTTCAAAGTTATTTGCAAATGTAACATCAGTAAATACTACCCTCAATGCAACTAGATAATGGAATTTCTGGGGTTGGGAAGGTCAAGCCATTTGAATCTCAACCATGATCAACAGGCAATTATTTTATTCTTATGTTGTACTTATTATATTGAGTGGCCCAAGAAATAACTTGACTAGTCTGCTCATCTAAAAAAAAAATACAAGATATTGGCTGGAAATTTACATTACAGGTTGTTACATCTAACACCTATGGGCCATGTCATGGCATTTTCGATGGAATGTGGTCTTCAAGAACCCAAGTCTTTGTCCTGAGATTATCCCATTTCCAATCTTTGATGCAGTTTCCTTCTCACTGGAGAATAGAGTGACATTGGGACACGAGTTTTAGTTTGCTCCATTTGGAAAGTAAGTTGAATATGGAAATAACAGTCAAATGTGACAAGATTTTCAAATTGTTGCTGTGCTGCAAGGGAACATCAAAAGACAACAAAAATGTAAAAATCATTGCTGTGCTGAATGCCTATATTGAAAACCATGTTAAACATTGGTCAATTCAATAATGCTGCAATTGCATATCATGCTTGAGTCAAGTGACAGGCTTCATGCTTCATCTTGCATGATTCCATATGCAAAAGTTTTGATCCAAATGCATGCATATATTTACATATGACACCAATATTACAGTTGATCTTATTGGCAACCTTTGATGCCAGATCAATAGGAACAAAAGCTATCAATTACAAGCATAGGTTTTCCAAGCCCAATAACAATGTATAAGATTCAATGGAAGTTCAATTTTGACACTCCCTTGCGTGACAGTCAAAAGTTACATGATGAAAATCAGTAGACAGGCATTTTGGATGCTGGACTCTCCACATGCATATCTGGAAGTCAAATGTGACAACCCCATGTCATGAAAGCTGCAGCACAGCTGCTTATATCATATCACTCTATTCCAGACACACAGAGATGTATGATTGTATGTGCTGGAATCTTGCTTGATTGCATTTTCAACAGGTGATGACATAATGATGAAGGGGTAGTGGTTTGAAGTCTGCACTCTGAGCAGGGCAGGCAGTACTACTGAAGGTCCACCTCCAACTCAGTCACTTGATTGCAGCTGAAAATATGCTCTAAACTATCTACTGGTGACTCACCTTTTCTTTCCAGTTATTCTTGAAGAAATCTAATGCTCTGATGTCTTAAAACTCATCCTGTACACAACTTCCTCATGTCTGCAATCGATGTGGAAAACCAATAAGTAGTTCTTGTTAACACGTTGACGACCAGCCTATTTTTGCTTGTCCGCCGCGTGGGACCATGCGCATTTTTTTTTGTCAAAAAATGCGTCCTTTATATTTTCAGCTATTCAATATTGGAATCATGTGAAATATTTACTCTATCAGTTCCAGAGTCAATTCAAACACTACCTTTTGTGGGTTAGCTCTTATAATGAAAGTTCAGAAAATATTGACATTATTATGAAATCATAATCTTCTGGAATGTTCTCAACAGTTCCAGAGGGTATTCATTGAAAAAAAATCTTCATCCTGGCATCAGGACGCATTGTCGCCAACGTGTTAAGGAAAGTCCTAAAACCTTCCTCTCTCTTTTTCATATTTGGAATCTGGTCTCTCACCCTCAATGGTTGGTGATAGCTTATTAGGACTAACCTGAACACAGATACTTGCCAAATAAGATTAATTGCAAAAGGAGCACAAGAAGCAAATGCATCTGAGGCCACGTGAAAATGCAACAAGGCATTCCCCTGGTATGGATATGGTATACTTTGTATACCTGTTCAATACTTTTGCAATGTTTGACTTGGAAAACCTATAATATCACATTGAGGGGCAAGGAATGCAGGGTTCCTGGACTACTGAAGGTTATTACTCATAATTCTGAAGCACCAGAGACACCCTCTCAGCCATCTCCCCCTACCCTCCCATGCAATAGGGTTTAGGTTTCACAGGCTTGTATAGCCACTTTATGTTACATATGAGAATTTATAAATAAGTTTTGTCACACACTCTTGCAGGAATCCTGCTTAAAACAAAAATTTCCAAGACATAACTTTTCCATTATGCATCAGGACTCACTCCATTCAAAATGAGTCATTCATGATTCAGAGGCTTATTTATTATACTTTCTTGAAAATCATGCCAGGGTACTACCTCTGTGCAGTGCATTTATAGTCACTTATGCTATCATTCTGAAAGTTGCTACATTGTAAATGATCAAGACCTATCCTATGCTTACTAAGAGTTGTGAGAAAGCAGAGCACATGCAAAAATGGCTCATTGGATATTCTAGAGTGTCTCACTAACAAAAATAAGCCTATGGACAATAGTACGGTTTTGTTTCTAGAGCTATTGTTTTAGTTGCTCTACTTATTGGATCTCTCTTTGCTACTTGGAAAATTTGAGACTAACTTTGTAATATCTGTCACCTAGCATTTCAGATTACACACGGTGGGCCATAAATATTCATACCACTTGTAACTTTCCTATTTATTTGCACCTAAAAACAGCAAAGAAAAAAATGCTTTGTACTTCTATGTGAGTGTCTCATTGGTGGTCAACCTTAGCTGTATTAACATGAATCCTCTTCTGCCTAGGAATGGCTTGAGGTTCAAGAAATCGTCTGGCTGACTACTAGGTGGAAATGATCAAAGAATACGAATGACTCCCATTCAACTCTGACTGTAATCAAATGGATTACTGTATGCAATGTCAGCTGGAAGCTCCAGTGCCCATAAACAAAATCCAGCGAACTGAACTAGTTAAGGTTCATGCTGAAAGAGGAGTGAAACCATGTCTGTCCAGTACGACTGACTCACAGACTTGAAGATTCCAAGTTGCCATCAAGAACAGGGACACATCAAACATATTTTGTGAATAGTTACTGTGAGCACTTTTTTCTTGTTGAAATTCAATTGATTCCATGAGAAGTTACCAGTAAAGGAAATACAAGACTTCAATTTGGTTTGAATATTTATGGCCCACCCTATACTGTTCTGGTCAGACACCAGAAATAGATAAATTGAAAAGCTGAAGAGTTGAAAAGGAAATCAGCTGATTGACAAAGAAGTATATTTTTTCTCCCTATGCTTCAATACAGCAGCCATTGAACCAAAAGTTTGATCATTTCTCACCTCATTGATCAAAACTTCTTGCTAGCCCAAGCCCTTAAGAAGGAAAAAACAAACTATATTTCAGTAAATACTGGGGTTTGTGCCTTTCAATACAGAGGCTGGCATTTTCTCACCCAGGATGTGATGATTCAAAAATAAGGAGAGACACGTAAGAGAAGTTATACCATACATGCCACTGAGGAGCATTGAGCTTTGTTTGGATAAATTTTCCACAGCATTGGGAAATCCTCAATGTCAGAGATGTTTGGTTGAGGAAAAAAACCTGCAGCAATGAGAGTATTCTTCAAGTATAATGCCCTTTGTTTTCTTCATGAAAATCTGAACTTAGATTCAATGTCAATTTCTTTCTTGACCTCTTGTAAATGCAATCATTGCCATGAAAAGCCACTGGCTCTCACAGAACTCCATTTCAGAGCATCTCATTCCAAGTGCAACTGATTTACAACTTTTATCCTAATTAGCAAGAGAATGGCACATTATCATGGCAACATTCTTGAATACTTAATTTAAAGAAATCCCTGAATATTAAGTGGATGCACTCTCACTTCAGAGGCATTATAAGAATTGACACTGTCCCATAAATGATTTTAGTACTCTGACTTAATCCCCAACTCTCTATCCCAAGTGGTTTATTATCTGCTGTAGTATTAATATTAATCTGAGAAGTGAACAGCCAGGCTCTCCAACCAATTATTCCCACTTTGGCAGTTCAGCAAAACAATTCATGGAAGTCCTTAGTTTTCTTCCAGTAATTATCTGCATCATATCAAGAGTCATCCAAACATGATAATCGAGGCATACTTCTTTCATAGCCCCATTCTGGTATTCAAAACATTGACAAGAAGCTTGTCTCTTGTGTAGTCCACAGAAATATGGGTGATCATATTGCCTTATTCAGAACACCTTTCTGCTAGAGATGAAAATTGTATCTCTACATGAAGGAAGTCCATAGAAGGCAAATTGCAACAAGTTTTAATCACAAATGACAGAGCACAGAAAACATACTGTTTCTACACAGTCATGGCTTATTATGGTTACACTATGGCAAAATTTGCATGAATCTTCAATGATCAACTATGGGAGTTTGTGCTGTGAGTAGCAAGTTAGACAAATTATACTAAAATGGCACGAACAAAATAATTCACCACCACAACCACAAAGTAAACAGGCACTTATTGGGTAACTCAAATAAGATTCAACATATATAATCCACTCCCAGTCTCGAAGTTTTCAGGAAATTTCAACAAAATATGGCACTTCAGTGGGGTGGTTCTACTAAGAAATAAAAATGAATCACTCCATGGCAAATGAAATTGCTCCAAAAAAAACCCCAAAGGTCTTTCCAGGGTATTATAAATTCTCCATGCATGAAGGAAGGGGCAAAAAATTGCAGATTCAGGAGATTCCTCAGAGAAATTTGAGGCTCCCAAGTAAACTTACACCCTACATCACTCAAGAGTGCCTCCAATAAGAAACAATTGCTTCTTCCCCAACACTATCATGGTTAACTGAGTTTGAAACATTTAAATAGAAATTAACTTGACCAAAAATGATTGTACTTTACACCAATATTCAGAGGCTCTAAAAATTGAACAAAGCCTTCATTGTTATTTAGAAGAGCAATAGAGCAGCCATAAGGCATTATTGCAGAGAATTCTCTCAAAATCTCATCACCATGTCAATGAAGCAAGTGATGGGAATCTTACATTGAAGCACCGGAACAGACAACAAAGACAAGTCCTCTACTCTACCATCACACTGGCCCTGAATAAAACTCACATATCAACTCCACCCTGAAGTCTACAGATTAGGAAAAGCCACTGGTGAACTGCTTCAGGGACTTCATTCCCTTCCTAACAATGGCGAGAAAACAAGCAAGCCTTCCTGTTTCTATCACTCATAGTTGCTTTTTTCTCCCTGATTGTATTTCATATTTGAAAAGTAATTCTCCTGAGTGGCATTCACCTATTCTCTGCAGCTCCATTCAAGAGTCAAGGAATGAGTAACAAAACTAGTTTTTTCATTAATAAACTCTGCATACAATTCTCTAGTTTACAGCTTCCTGAGGGGAAGAATGCCAATTTAGAAACCTAATGAATTCACTTGGAAGAGAAAGAGCTTCAAACAGAGCATGATAGTACCTATGGGTAATCAAATGTAACTGTCTGCACAAACCAGGACAGCACAAGAGAGAAATTGATTCCCAGGCAGATCCCTGTGATAAGGGATGCAGCAGCAAACATCCCAGCTGTGCCGGCATGCTCTGGTTCCACCGTCCGTGGACTATACATCATTGCCAGGGAGCTGAAGTACCCAGAAGATAAACCCATAAGGATGGCCATCACCCAATAGGCATAATCATTGGTGATCAGGACTGGCAGAATACGTGTTGCTGCAACTGGATGATAATTGCATAGCACAAAGTAAGGGATCATGAAAACACGAAGACAAACTGGAAGCCAAAGCCATTTTGGACTTGGCCACACAAAGAGATTTGGCAAGAGATTCCCAAGCATTGCACAAGTGTTGAAGGTGAGAAAGCAAGTGATAGGAGTGAAATAGGTAGGGGGAATAAAGAAGTTTTCATCCATTGGACGGATGTCGGCATGGACAACAGGGAAGATTGACAGGGTGACAAAGAAGACAAAGAACACATTGAAGAGCTGTGGAAATGCTGTCTTGAAGATGTGCCAGTATAACCGGACCTTGCTGCGCCCATGAACAGATGAATGCATGTTACGCCTCATGGCCTGTCGACGCTGGTCTATGTTATCAAAGTAGCGGTAGAATTTTAGGAGAGGCAGAGCAAAGTAGGTATCAAGACATGCAAGGAGAACAAACAGAGCAACAATGAAGTAATAAATCCCTGCCGTACGGGGGTTGGGGGCAAGAGCAATGGCCAATATGTTGATGATTGATGTGAATGTTCCACTGATGTTGCTGCCCAGTACAACACCCCCTGTAAACTTAAAGGGGAGCTTAGCTGCCATCCCATAGACTGTGTTCTGGTAAATGCCATTGCTGATGTTTAGTAGAACAACACTGACAATAGTGATCCAGAAGAAGATAGGAATCCAGTCACTGGAGTCCATAATAGATAGGACAATGGTGAGGACAAATATGGCAGTAGAAAACAGCAAGCTCCAGACAACACGCTTTGTCAGATCTCCGCCCATGTGCACAAAGACATTGATCCAGTTGAAGAGGAGATTTGGAACCTGGGCTGCAAAGCCCAAGTAATTGAGGAAATATGTAGAATAGTTCATCTCTGCACTTGCACTGGTTGAGTTGAGTTTATAGTTCACAAAGTACTCTTTGGCTGTGATGAACATGTTCCAAGGCATGAGGGAGCCCACACCATGGAGGACGAAGATCAGGTACACCAAATGGTACTTGTCGATCGGCTCTTTGGTTGCTTCAAACTCGCTCCCAACATCTTGGAAGTTCAGCTGCTCGGGTGGGAGGCTTCTTTCCTCCCAACTGGGATTCAAAGCAACAGGACCGTCCTGAGGAGCCGTTGGAAGGAACAAAACCTTGTCCTGTGAATCCTCAAATCCTCCTCCAAAGTTGCTTTGGTTGTTTTGCCTTGCCTGACCACCTCTCTGCACTTTTCCTGCCCCCATTTTGTCCCTTTTCTGAAAACAGTACAAGTGAAATTAGCAAGAAAGAAAAAGTGAAAGCCTCAGAAATAAAAATAATCTCACTGTAACTTATTTTCCATACAGAAGAAGACTGTATCTTATTTAATTGTTATTCCAGAAATCACTTGCTTTGCAAGTACAAATATTGCATATACAACATTAACATGGCTTTGAACTGTGCTCTTTATTTCATTCACAGCATACAGTAGTGACAGCTAAGTGTCTACTGAGTGTGCTGGAGTCATTGGATGCAAGTGAGAGGAAGGAAAGGAAGGGTGGGGGATGCAGTGAATAAGACCTTGACAGTGAAGCAGGAAGTTATGTGGGGTTAAAAAAAAAAAAAGGAGTTGTTAACATGTTGACAGCTGAGGATTTAAATGCCCAGCCAACCTCTCCTTGCCAAGCACAGCAGTGAGAGTTGGCCACATTGAAATGCCATATGGCATGAACAGTAGTTCAAGTGTGAATAGGGTCTCTCTTGTGTAAACAAGAAACCCTCCGGTTAGCTTCCCCCTAACAATGGGGTTATTTCCCTGTGTTCATGTAAGAGGGATTCTAACTTCATTAGATCACATGTTATGGCTGTGTGATGAGGATGAAGATGGAGGCCTCAAAGTTGATAGAGAACCTACATTTAGTAGAATGTACATGAAAATAAAATAAAATCTCCATGGGGAACTGCCAAATGAGTGTCATCAGCTACTGAATCTATTGGTAGACATGTGCCTTACACTGCCACAAGAAATGCATAAAATTTGGCAACCTAACTTTAATACCTTAGCTAATCCATAATCTCTTTTCTAGTTACAATACAGTTACAGAAATAAAAAATATGAAATCAACATCAAATGATATTACAGTTGAAATTTGATAGATGGGATTTATATATCACTGAAATTCATAGATGGAAGTACAGCAAAATGTTCTCTAAATTCCAACTATGTCACACAAAATGGCATTAGCAAGATTACACCTTCTGCTCTATTGACACCTCATAAAATATGTGAAAGAATTTCAGGTATGCATGAAAATCAAATTCTGAAATTTTGCCATGTGCATTCCCACCTGTGAAAAACTGCCAGCAAGATTCAAACTTGAGAAGAGTTAAGGGTCTATATCCTCAGTGAACAGACCTAAAATATGGTCAGCCACCAACAGCAATAAATGGTGGGTAGCAGAAACAACAGAACTTCATTGTTCTTGATTAAGCAGAGAAAAATGTATTAGAGCAAAAATAGCTCAAACATTTCCAATAAGACTATGGGTGTTTCACAAGCCTCACTGGGTGACCCTGGTCAAAATACTACATCTTTAAGAATGTGTCAACATTGGGGTCAGCCTAGCAACAGCAGCAATTTACCTCATGAGATTTCAGTTTCCAGTCTTTCACTCTTCCAATCAATTGAAACTACATTGAATATTTTAACAAATTATATTCAGAGGAGCTATTCTTGGGGGATATTTCTTCTTAATTTGGTCATCACTGCTGATTATATGAATTCATTTCCTTTTAATTTCATAAGACCCCAACCATCCATTCTTCACATTTTAATTGGTTTCCAGAAATGCAATGAAAAAGAGATAATGCACTGACATTCTTTTTCTCTGATTGGCCTAACCAGAGTCAAGCTCAGGAAACCTGAAAAATGTGTAAGAATTTCCCTTAAAATTTGATCAGCTTACAAAGGAACTCTTGATGCCTTGGATGCCTCCAGTATCAGCAAGACCGGCATTATTAATAACTGAGAGTGAATAAGTATCAACGTATTCACCCTTTTATTCACTTGTCCATTGACCTTCAGTCCATATCACAATAACCGAAGCAAATCAACATGAATTAATGAATTACTTCTTTCACACCATCCAATTCCAGAATGTCTTGTCCACTGAAATGTTCGCTTAGGCTTCAGAAGAAAAAAAAGTATTTGACACTGCCTCTGTTGCATGCTTTAATGTAACGTTCATAAAGTCATCATAATGCCTGGAAACACCAGATTGTCATCGCACTATAAGGATTACCTCACTATTGTGAAATCTTGAAGCAATTCGCGACGAATGTGTGGAAGGCGAAGCCCCAAGTAATCTTAATAGAAAATTTTCCTACTGTGGACCAGCTGATTAGGCTTAAGTATAGGCGTAACGTAAGCCTTTGAGGCCACCTGTTGAATAAGTACAAGGTAAGAAGTTCAACGGAGGACTAAGTCAAAGCCTAACACAGAATACCGATATTAGGCCTAACAAAAGTAACTCACCGATTGCTGAGATGCCCAAATGATGACCTCGGTTGAAGTGCGCCGAACTTGACGTTAAAAAATTCAAAAGGAGTGAGAAGCAGACGAGTGCGTCTCGACGGTCGGAGCCATTGCGAATGAGGGCTTGCAGGAGTCGTTCACGATGGCACGAGTGAGCACAGGCCCGATGCGACCCCTCATAACCATTAATTGGCGTGTGGTGGAGTTGCAGAGAGGAAACGTTCGAGCGAGTGTCGGCTTACAGCTCACACGTGCGTAGGATCACGCCATTAACCCGTTGTTCCTCGGGGACATTGTTGCACGAGTGTTCCTTCACTTTCTCCGCAGGTTTTCGTCTCATGACACGACTTTGGGGCAATCGTTGGGGGAGACATATGGAGGACGCTTTCAAAATAAATGGATTGACTCTAATTGAAGCGTCTAGATATGCATTCATGTCACGTAACGTTGAATTGTAGCCTTGGTGGATTATTTCCGGATCTGACATCCCTGATGCGAGGGAACGTGAAGTTTTTGCTGCACAGACCGCGCTTGGCCGTTGGCCCGTTCGCTGTCTCCGGCGTTTGCTGTGATAGATATGACAGATGGAATCATGTCGATTCCGGTTGGCAGAAGGCGTGACCTCTAGTATTTCGACTCTCGTGGTGAGTCAGATATACGACTGGAATATATGAATGTCCTTTCGTGAAACTTGTTACCATGTACATATATTACTTAGGCGCTTGTAGGTGATATGAATCGTCTGAGACGCTTATAAATGTGATTGTAAAATTTTTTTACCGGAGGAGGCTCGAAAAACTGCCACTTTTTGGAGCGCTAAACATGTAAGGAAGTGATTCGAACACATTTTGCATATGCAAAAGGATCCAGACCCCACGTGTTCCTTTCAAGTCAGACCCAGAAGCAATCCGCCCACGCCAGGTGAGAAGTTCAAAAAGAGCGACGGAACAACCGCACCTTCCCACGTCCTCAAAAAATAATTTCCCCCCGGCGAACACGCGACGAAACGATCGCGTTTCCCCGCCGAGACGCACTTTCGCCATGCGACACACGACCCCGCTTGAATCCCGAGTAGGAAATGAATTATCGACCCTGCCTCGCACTCATCCTCATGCCGTCCTTCGTTTTACGAACGCCCATGTGCAGATACTTCTCAATGGAGGACCCTGGCGCCTCCAACTCCAATCCAGGTCTCGTCAAGTTCAACACGATTGAACGGCATTGTAAGGACTCAGCCCCCCCCTTCCCCCCCTCCCCCCCCCCCTCACCTCTTCGATCNCTCCCTCCCCCCCCCCCCCTTCCCCCCCTCACCTCCCCCCCTTCCCCCCCTCCCCTCGAGAAGCGAACAACTTTGAATCATGAGAGTCTCATGATGAGACTCGAGTCGAAGAGGAATAGAATTTCATTCACTCGCGAGAGACACCTAGTGAGGGTTGAACGAAGCTCTGTGATGGGCAGGAATCCTGTCCGTAAATGGGGGGAATTTACTTTCAGGCCAGTTTAACAATATCCGGGAAGTCCATGTCCTTATTTGCCATGTTCATCCTGTGAGGACCTCAATGCTAGATTGCACTCATTTTGATGCAATAGTTAAATCCGAGTGATATTGAGCGAAAACTCTTTCAGTTATGAAGGAAACTGTTCGCTTTTCTTGAGATGTTTCCTTCAAAACTGCGAGAAATGCGTCGGCTGAGCATTGGTGGCCGTGGCAACCGTAGGTGCTTCGGCATCCGATTCGAAACCAGCGATAAAAACGTGTTTTAATTCTCTGCCCTTCACATTTCGGATGTTCTCGGTTGAGGACAAAACGAATCCAGAATTTCGCATCTCTGGCGGCTGAGGACAGAGCATGAAAACACGGTTGCTTGCTGAAAAGATTGTCGAGTCATGTAAGTAAATTCAATCTCATCAGCTAATTAACGCTTTTTAAAACCGTTGATAAAGGTTATATAATGCCCGTACGTCGAAAATTAAACTGCTTTCACGCACGACATGCTGAAAAACTTGCAACCTTTTCATTCACGACCAAAAAAAAATTCTTATTTTTTTTTTTTAAATCGAGAATGCTGGAACCTCAGCGATTTCCCACCTGGCATTTTTATATTTCGTTCATTTTATCAGCTGAGACGAGCTGAACGACGATTCGCCACGCGGCCAGCCAATCTGGCCTTGCACCTTGCAGTTCCTTTCGCAATTCCTGAATTTGCACTCGTGAAATTTGATACGTTTGGCACGGACAGTCGGTCGCCCTCGAAGCTCTTTATTCGCGTCTCTACTCAGGCTGGAACGTTTAAAGTTTATTTTTTTTTTATGTACAGGCCTCATCTGGTCTCAATCATGGAACAAAGGTCAAGGATATTTGAATTTAAAAAAAAAGAGTGCGAGAGAAAATAATCAATTCTCTCACTGATATCCGGTTATTTAAGCTGAGGAATTCTTTGAAGCTGTGAAACTTGGACCCTTTGTTTTGCATTTCTCGATTTTTATTATGGACGGCATTCTCCCTGAATTTCTTACTTTCTATTGCCGACCTTTTTTTTTTAATTTTGTAAAGTCTGATGAGAAAATCCCTTCCTTCTAATTTTTTCGGAGTCTGAGGGTATTGTTTTACTTCATCGACAAACAACGTCCGCCTTCCCTCATTCATTCGATATGGGGGGGGGGGGGGGGGGGGCGGGGCCCTCGATGGTGGGGGGGGGGGGGGGGGGGGGGGGTCGATCTGTGATGAGAGTGGATGAGAGTGGCGGAGGAGGAAGTTACGATTTCACTCGGTTTCGCAACTGGGTGGCGATGAATTGGCGGGATTCTTTAATTCGCCATTAAACGTTCTCTTGTTATGTTCCAGTTTCGCTCCACCTTTTCCGGGTGATTCTAGTCGCCCTAGATTCCAGGCAGATGTCGATCCTGTATCTGTGCATAGACGCGCTTTCCTTTGCTGTTATTTCTGCATCGAATGATTATGCTGTGACTCATCCGAAACGAATGAACTGCCGCGTTTCGAAGGCAAAAGCTGGTTTCCGTTACACGCCTCGAATTTTTCTCTGTCTCTCCTGGACGACGCCCGAAGCATCCAAAGACGTGACGGAGTGCAAAGGTTATAGCCTCAGATTTGGCACGCATTAAGCGACTGGTTGCCATCAGCAACCGGTGAATCCATTTTGTCTCCGTGTCTCCTCGTAGAAAACCAACCCTCGATCCACCGTGTCACTTCGTAATTTAAAAAAATAACTCACATAGACCATGAGCGTGGCGAGGCGGTTCCCCCTAAAAGCCGTCATCGGGTCCAAGTCCTCGTCACCGATCAGGGGCGAGTCGAGATGCGTCGTGAACTGACCCCCGATCCCATAATTCGCCACTTGGAAGTTCTCGGAGGCGATCACCTCCGGAAACACCTCCAGCCCCGTCGCCTCCTTCACGCGAGTCGACAGCTTCCTCACCAGCTCCCCGTCCGCGTCCTGCAGCCACGCCCTGTCGCGTTCGGACGTGGGATTCATAAATTGGGTCCAATTTTCTTTAGTGGAAGTGGTTTTTTTTTATTATCCTCTTTTCTTGAGTTTATGGTTGAATTTTTTATTGGGGAGGTTGCAGTCGCCCTTCTTTGCGCTTCGGATATTGCACATTCTTGAAAGCTTTATCGAATCTTCTTTAATTCCGGCGGAATTCTCAGATTTGCGGCCGTTTTGAGGATGGCTTTCGTGCTTTCGTGCCTGCTTCGTCACGCGCCTCCGCGCAAATCGGTAGAGCCCTGCACGGAACGGGAAGTTCCGCGTCGCGACTCGCTTTATTCACGGGACGGGACAAACGATTTTTAATAACCAAAAACTAGTTTTTATTTCCTCTAATACACATTAAAAAAAAAAATCCAAACAATTGCAACCCTCGAAGCCATCCAGCCATCATGTGAAATTTCAATAATGAGCTGCTGAAGATTCAGAAAATGATGAAAGTCAAGTTTGAGGGGATAGGAGCAGTTGGTCCACTGGACGTTTCAGTTTGCGTTGGCAGGTTGGTCCGCTTCTCGCACGAAAGCGATGTGCTGAGCAATTATTTGCATGGTCGGTTTAATGATTTTTTAGGGCTCGGGGGAAAACACGACCCCAAATTGCCCCCCCCCCCTGCCCAACCCCCGCCCCCTGCCCCCCCTTTTCCAGGTCGTATCGATCGCGACGTGTCGCATGAGCGGGGAGTGGCTTTTATGCATGGGAAAGTCCTGAAATGTGCATGTAAATTGGCAATAAAAGGGGGAAATTGGCATGAAATATGCACGAAAAAGCATTACAGGGCAAAGTAATAAACTTTGAATAATCAATAAACATTATCAATGTTTAATGTACCCCAAAGAGTATTTTACTATTTACAGTTACTTTGGGATTTTAAATCATCAAAATTAAAAACAAATAACATTTTTTCGCCCGCCGGAGCAACGCGTGCCTGTGCGTGAAATTGGCACAATCGGCAAAAATTGGCACCGGTCGTATGTTATTTATACTTGCGTCGGCTACCATGCGCTTCCAATTTACCGGTACCCGTAATTTGCGAGAAAAAAAGATCGACGATTATCGATGGGATCTGATCGAAATCGTTTCCCATTCAAAAACGTTTTTTCCCGTTGAAGTCAACGAAGGAAACCAGAAATTCCGAAGCGTGCCTGCAATGGAGCTTCCGTTTCCCCACGTTCGATAAATGCGAGAAATCTCGACGAGACTTCGCCGTAAATCACAGACAAATTTAAAATAAATTTAAAAATTTCGCAGATGAAAATAAATAATCGAGATGAACTGACTGCTTGCTCGTGCGTTTGTCCGACGAGACGCCGTAGCCTCCCTTCCCGTGATGGAGGCTCCGGTGGAGGCCGTGCCGTGCGACGGCGACTTCGATGAGCTCCTCGACCTCCCCCGGCCCGAGGAAGTCCCTGAAGACGGCCACGAAGGGGACGCGAGACAGCTCCTCCTGCTTCCACAGGGACCACCGCGGCCCGGCGCCCCGAGCGAGGCGGCATCGCAGGTCTTTCTCCAGCGCCGCTGGCTCCACGCAGAAACGGGGGACGCAGGAGGTCTTTATTTTTAGTATTTATCAAATTTTACACAAAAAATTCAATTAATGCACAATTTGACGCTTTAAATTTTTTAAAATGGTAAACAAGGAAATTTGCTAAATATTTGCTAAATAGGTATTTGGGATCCGCACAAATTTTGCGTAACTTCCTTGCTACTTGCTTTGAAACGAAAAACGACTCTGCCAATTATCGCGATATCGAGATATTTATCGGTATTGCTCCTGTCGGCGATAAGTATGCTCAGCTCGGTATCGTTTTCCATCTTCATTCTGCCTTGAATGCCCTCGCATGCATGAAGTCGGCTGATGAAAGAAGGCGAAGCTGCGTGATTGATGAAGGGAGCCTTAAAGCGTTCGTCGCCGATTCCCGTCGCTGGCCCCGAAGGGAAGGAGAGCACTCGATGAAGGGAAACGAAATGGGGGAAGCTTCATTTCGGCCCGATGCTCCCCAGCCATCATAAGCCATCATAAGCCATCATAAGCCATCATAAGCCATCATTAGCCATCATTAGCCATTATTAGACTCATGAAGCATGACTCCGTCACGCTAATACCAGCCGCCGAT